AACAGAACAAGGTCGTGATGGAAGAGATTTTGCTTTTTAAATCAAGCCTGATCTGTAAGGATTTTCAATTATTCCAAATAATTCAAAGGTTTATGGGGGAAAAATTAGATAGGATTAGAGATATATGCTAACCTCATGGTTTAAAACAAAATGTAGTTGGCATTATATTTTTAATTATTTAATGTCATACATTAAGTGAGAGGATCAGAGAATATAGTGAAGATTCAATTTGCCAAACATGACAAGTTAAATGAATGAGTTCCTTAGTCCATTTTCACTTGAGTAAAGATTTCATTTTTTTGTGTGTCACATTGCAGTTCCTAATTAGACATTCTCTGCCCAAGCCACCACCTTCCTGTGTAGTCTGTAAATCTGCCAGAAACTCTGCATCATCAAGGATTTTAAGCATGTGAATTGGGTCACAGAGCATGGTCCAAGGGCTCATAAAACCCAGAGCCAGCACCCATCAGCTGGACTGGGCCAGAATGGGGAGCAGAACCATCACTGAGCTGACTCTGCCATTGAAATCCAGCATTCAGTGCTATTGCTAGAGAACATGTCCTTATCTCTAATACTGAATTCCATCTCAAATGTTATTTCTCTTTACGTTTCCTCTGCCTTAGAAGTAATAAAGATGTGATATGTAGGAGTGGAAAAGAAGCAGAGTTGTGAGTGGAGACAGCGGAGGCTTCATGCAGCTTTAGAGCAGACACTGACTGATATAAATACTGAAGCTAAGGGTTTTGTCAGAGCATACATATGGGACTGGACAACCCTGAGAAAATACATCACCCTAGAAAATGACCTTACAGTGATGAAATAATTGTCAAAGCACTAAGCAGAGACACCAGCTGCAAAAAATTCTGCCTGCACTAAGATCTAACTATTCTGATAATGTTTCAAGCCCTGATGTAATGCAATCACAGGTTTTAGCATCAGATCTTGAGGAAACCTAATCCTCCATCAACAGACTAAGAGGCACCCTATGAGGGCATGAATGACACGACAGTGGGACTTGCACACTTTGGCTTTCACAAAATAAATTCTACTGATTAATTAACACACCACTATCAATGTTGATGAAAAATTAAATACTAACAGGCATCCCTGCACATAGGACAACTTAGTTAATGCTCTATGGGACCACGCTATTCTATGGTTGGTCTTATATGTTTGAAGATACCATTTTATTCTTCCTCCCATGAACACTGAACCTATATTTCCTACTTGAAACCAACTACTGACAGATATATAAAGAAAAGTGGCTTACGTCTGTAAGAAGCTGATGTTGAAAAAATACAAATATTTAAAAGTTCAGCAAAGCTGCTTCTCATAATATCACTGGTATTATGTTCACTTCAAAATATGGTTATTTAAATGTGTCTTTTATTTTTCTTTTTACATTTTTAGTTTTTATTAAGGGGAAAGGGAAAGCAAATACTACAATACTGCTGATGCATAAAGAAAATTGAAGTTCAGCTGAAGTTCCTGGAAACTCATTCTCCTGAAAATATCTCCTTTCCCAGAAAAGCCTATCAGTCTTCAAAATGATTTGTAACAAGTGCACTTTAATGTCAATGAAAAACGTAAAAAAATGGCTTCTTACTCTCTGTTTGAATTGCTCCCTAATTCACTATGAATCAGCTCCATTCAATGGTCTAGAAACTCACTTTTTAACAATTTAAGGGAGCAAAAAACACTGAAATAGACTAGAACACAAAAGCTGCCATACAAATGTGTATGGCCTCTCCTTGGGCAGGGAGCAGAAGTTCAGGTATGAGACCAGCAATCAGCCCTCACACCTTAAAGGCAAACAGGCCCCAAAAGAGCTGATATGTACATTATGTCACCCATTGACCTGTGACTGCAAGAATGCTGGAATACGATGTTATTAAAATACAGATACATGTTCTGCACTAACTTTCTTATCACCTGTTCTGAACAGTGAGAACAAACTAAAAAGAAAAAATAAGGTGACATACAAGTTTTCGCTAAAAAATAAAATAAAATAAAATAAAATAAAATAAAATAAAATAAAATAAAATAAAAACAATAACTGATTTCTTCATTTCCACAAAGGCAAAATTAGGAAAATGTGTTAACTGGACAAGATTGCAGAAGGAAAGAGGGTGGAGTCTATGAAACATCCTCAGGGACAATATCAAGTAGCAAAGTTACCCTCATATAAAGCCATCCCTGTCTGATTTAAAATAAAACTACTGTATGCTGGATAGATTTCCTCCTAGAAGTTTATCAAGAGCTTATGAGTCTAATGTGAAATATTCAGGAAGGTCAAGTAAAGGGTGGAGGTAGGTTTTCTAATGCCTGGTATACTGGTAGATAATATCAATATTGAAACCAGATCTGTTTTATTATTTACCTTGTATATTACAGAGAAAAAGGTGCCACGATATAGGATAATTATATTAAATACACAGCTCACACGTAAGCCGTCAATTTCCCATAACTTATTTTTTTTAAACTGAAATAAGTACAAGGTCAAATATACTCCCATGCCTTGCTAGATTGACATTTTGGTTTCCCTCTGTCCCAGTGAAGTTGAATTAACCTGAACAAAGTAGAGCAGTAGAAGGGACCAACAGTAAGGTCACAGAGATGCACGCAGAGCAAGCTGCTCTGATGACTGAGGAAATTTTCTTTCATGCATGAGAAATGCATACTCACATTCTTTTAGAGACAGAAAGGGTTCCAGTCTGTGTCTCTCAGCTCTCTCAACTCTAAACCCCATTTCATCAAAGTCCAAGCCTTTGTTTATGCAGTTCTGTCTCATCCAGCTGGACATCAGCCTGCATCCATCATTCAGGGAATAAAAAGGAAGAGAAGATGACTATGTTAACAACTTTGTGAAGACTTTATGCCTCCTCACCATTCAGCTGTTTCAGGATGTGGTTGTGTGCCCATGCAGTGATGCAGAAGTACCTGCCTACAGGGCGAGACAGAGTTGCCTACAAACCCCAATCACTGGAAGATAGTTAGCTTAGGTGGCTTTGTTTATCTAACACCATTTATGCTAGGGAGCATAAATACAGTGTTTTTATACTATACTATCCACCATCACTATATGTCACGAATTTTGGAAAAAAAATATAGCTTTCTTTAATAAGGTGTTATCTAGGACCATAGAATGGTTTGGGTTGGAAGAGACCTTAAAGATTATCTCATTGCAAACCCCCTGCCCTGGGCAGGAACAACAGATCATGGCTCTTCTGAGACGAATGAAAAGTATGAGGGAGCAAGCACATACCTTCCAAAGGGGTTACACTCTGACAGCATTTTAAACCTGGACTTGATCAAGCGTTCCTGCTAAGACTTAGGTCCCCTGGGACCATAACCTAGAGAGGTCTTAGGCAGTCGCATTTTCTAGCTGAATTCAAAGGCCGGTGGTGTTAACAGGTATTTTGAACTCGGTCTTAAGCCACATAAGCAACCACTCCTGTACACTTACAGAGACTTTGTTTCCTTTTCTCTGCCAAGGAGTGAAGCAGTGTCATTTAATCCTACTTGTCAAACCCATAATATCTCCATAGGTTGTGTCTGGGCCTTGGCAATTGTAGTTTGGCACAGAAATCTGCGCACCATCAATTCTATGCTTTCTGCCACAATTAAAGGGGCAGAGATTTGTAGAAGGGCTTCTTGCCACCAGGCAGAATGAATACTGAGTGGAGTTGTGGGTGGGAATCAACCTTTCTGCTTTTTCTGCTCTCCGGGGAACATTGTCCAGTTTCTGCCGTAGTTCATCTCTCCAAACCGACCTAGGGAAACTCTCTGCTGCTAAGCAACAGCAAGCTCTCCTTCTGTGTAGGAATGGCAGCTTTCTCCGCTGGTTTCAGCTCTAACGAGCACCTTCCCTGGCATCAATGGCACCACAGCCGTGTTCTCCCATTGCTGTGCAGTGCCTTTGGCCTTCTAGGGCAGCACTGTCACTGGGGGAAGGGCTTTCTTCACACTGTGTAGACTTCAGTTCCTCTCTGTCTTTTTGATGTCTGGTTGTAGGCCAGAAATAGGGACTATGTTTTGGGATGGGCTAAACCTTGATGAAATAGTGAAGCCCCAAACAATCAGGTAGAAATCATTGCTGTAAAAAAGGGAAGTAGAGTGGTGATTTTTGTCTGTTCCTGCTCAGAGCCCATGCTCCATCAAGGTGGCTCCTTCTCTGCAGGACAATGGCACTCAGCGAGGCAGGGCAAGGTCACGCTACCCTGACGCTCGCAGATCAGGGCGGGCTGGCCGAGCTACCCGGCCAAGGCGGGCGGCTGAGGGGCAGGATCAGGACCCTGGACAGGTCCGGGCGGCAATGGCTCTATTCGCTCCCCCCGCAGCTCCGTCCGTCGCCGGCGGTTGGCTTCCCGGGCGGGGATTCTTTGGGGGTGCTCTTTGGGTGTAGGTTGTAAGTGGCCAAATTCGTTCTCGTGCTCTTCTGGCACTATGGCCAGCCCTGAACCCCAATGGGCACTGCCTGGGTACAAGATCTGTCCTCCAGCCCTCACCTGAAGGACCGGATTAGAAAAGTCACGAAGACAGAGTGTACATGGGGACAAGCGGGGGTGCGAGGGCAGCAGGGTGTGGATTCACGGCTGCCACCACTCCAACCCCCATCACTGTGGGGCCCTGCTGGGTGTGCTGGGCCCCCGCCTGCGCCTCGGTGATGCTCACTTTGTTTTTCTCTCTCTTTTTCTCTTCCCATCCCGTCCCTCCGCTCCCACACCTCCCCCGCTCGCCGCAGACTCCGAGGCCTGCCAGGCCCCTCGCCTCGCTGTCAGCTCTGCTCTCCAGCCCCTTCCTGCGGCCGCAGCTCCCTGCCCGCCGGCCTTGCCCGCGCTTCGTCTCGGCGCCCCGTCGAGACGCCCCGGAGCCCCGCTTCTGTCCCGCGGGCTTGGCGGCGCTGCTGGCCGGGAGCGGGGCGCCCGCCCGCTGCCCGCTCGCCGCCCTGCTGCGGGGCCGCTGGGCTGAGCCTCCGCCGGCCCCCGCCCCGGCCCCGCCGCCGCCCAGCCGCCTCCCCCCGGAGCGCCGGAGATGCCCGGCGTGCCACGGAGCCGCGCCGCCGCAGCCCCGCGCTGCCCCCGAGCCTCCCGGCGCCGTGAGTACCGCTCCTGGGGCCGCGTCCACCCCTTCCTTCTCCTCCTACTCCCCGCACCAGGGAAACCGCGGTCCGCCCACGTGCCTTCAGCCGGCACCGGCGTGGGAGTCTCGGGAGCGCAGGGCGAGCTCCGCGGCAAAGCCCCCGGGCGCCGCAGCGAAGCCCGCTGGTTCCATTTGCCATCCCCAGCTCCCCCGGGTCCGCTGGCTCCAGCAAGGCGGCTCCTGCGGATGCTCCGCACCCGGGAGCAGCGCGGGCTGGAACAGCCCCGACGGCAACCGGGTGCCCAGCTCCGGGAACCGGGAACGCGCAGAGCGTTCACGCACCGAATCAGTCTTGTTTTCACGGGAAGACACAGTGTCGGTCTGCCCGGGAACGGCAGAGGTACTAGCAAGCCGCAGTCGTCCCGTTAACCCTTGTCCCGGCAGACGGCTGCCCGGGGAGTAGAGGTGGCGGATCATTATCGGTGAGAGAATCCTCTAAACGTGGCGATGCTCCTAAGGGCGGCTCTGAGGAGCAGGGTGAGCGCCCAGCGGGGCGGCCCCGGCACACGCCTTGCACGGAGCCCCGCTGCGCGGCTGCCGCAGCCGTGTCACATCTGCCCCGCGGAACGGGAGAGCGAGCCCGGGAGAGCCCGGCGCGGCGAGCCCAGCGCCGCTGGAAGGCAGGAGACGGCTAGGGGAGGGGAAGACGTGTATTTTAACACGCAGTTACTTAAAATGCGAGTATGTTCCAGCGCCGGGTTGGCAAGCCTGGCTCTCCTCTAAGGCATCTATGAACACTGAAGCACCAGCACCAAGCCCTACGGCGGCACCGCCGCCTCTCCAAGCCCTTCCCACTCCCTCCCATCAGCGCACACACACACACACACACACACACACACGGACACACATACGCGCGCACACTCGCCACTCACACGCTCTCACGCCGGTCTCTCCGGCATTTCTTCCTGCGGCGCCTGTCCCATGGCTCCCCCCGCGCCCTCCCCAGTCCGCCGCCGCGGTGCAAGCACTGCTGCGTTTAATCCCGTTGCAAACCGGCTCTGAGCCGTAGCAGCCCCTGGTGTTCGTCGCGGCAGGGGCGACCCGGCGCCAGCCCACCCCGTCGGGCCGTGCCGGGGCTGGGAGCGCGGGCTGCCGGCCTCGCTGCCTCCGGCTCCAGCTACGGCGAGCGAACCCACTCGCGGCCGCACCGTGAGACGAGCCCACGGGGGCCGGGCGCATGCGTGGGGCTGGCGAGCCGCCGTTCCCGGTCGCCCAGCCCGCCGGGACTGGAGGGGAAGCGTGCGAGGACGCCCGGCCGGGCCCCGCCGCCGACACCGTAAGTAGCGCTCGGTTCCGCTCGGCGGCAGCCGGGCACCGCATCCCGCGCTCCGGGCAGCCGCGAACCCCGTGCCGCAGCGGGAGCTGCCCCGGCTGCAGCGGGACGGGACGGGACGGGACGGGACGGGACGGGACGGGACGGGACGGGACGGGACGGGCGGCGCTGCTAGCTGTGGCCCCCACGGCCGGGGCGGGCCAGCGGCTGTGGCCGCCCTCCCCGGGAGGAACGGCAGGGACTCGGCGCAAAAGGCGTTTCCCCCGGTCTCCCGGAGGGTCGGGAGCTGCAAGCCGGGAGCGCCCGGCGCTAGCGCTCTCATCGCCCCGTCCCTCCCAGTGCAGGACCCGGGTAGCACCCGGCTGACCTCGGCTCCGGGAGCGGGGTCAGGATCCCTCCCTAGGGCGGGATCGCACCCCGGGCCGCGCCACCTCCCTGGCCCCAGCGCAGGTAACACCTCGGCTCGGCCCCCGCCACCCGCTCAGGGATCCTTCTGCCTCGTCTCACGAGTGCGGCCGAGGATGAGGCAGCATCCGTGCCCCCGCCCCACCGTGTAGGGGGTCCCGCGGGGCGCCTGTTCTCGGAGCCCGGGGCTCCCCTGCCAAGTTAGAGAGATAAGCAGCAACAGGCGGGTGCTTCCGTACAGAGCCTTCCCGTACCAGCCTGCCTCATCAAGCATCCTTAGAGAAGAGAAAGCTCTTCCTGAGCTCTGTTATTAGGTAATGTCAGTGGGTAAGAAAAAGCATGTAACGAAAATTGGACACAAATACAGAAAGTGAAATAAGATTATCCTTGTACACTCCAGTAAGAACCCACAGTAATTTAATAGCGGTGTAATTTACTTGATGCAACCATTCCATTATTTCATTTTTGCTGTTGGAAAATGTAAAATGAAAACTTTTCATATGGCACTTGTCTCTATGACGTAATGGCAAGGAGTCTCCTTGTACCCTGTTGCACAAACAATGTCAGCATCGAATCCAGGTCTCTGCAGAGCTATGGGCTGTGGAGGTAGCTACACCACTGCTGTATTACAGGACCAGAAGCAGTAAACACCAGCTCAACTAAACAGAACACCGGAATCATATCCACTAGGAGATTCCTAGTTGTGGTTCCTAAAATTAGGAACGTCATATTAAAATTAGGAGTGTCTCTCTAAACTCAGAGTCAACTGAACATAACACTAGCACTATGTTTTATAAAATGCTCAAAGGTGAGAGTTACTTTATTTCCCCTTTAATTTTTTATCTACTCCTCACATCAATGTTTACTTTGATATCTTTATTCTGGGTCACAAATATTTAATCATGGAAGCATCACCTAAGCTGTTACACACCTCTGTACTCCTCATTTAGAACAGTGAACATATTTCAGAGTGAGTAGTGATGTCTGAGGACACAGCTTAAAGTACCAGAAGGAGTTTTCAGGCTGTAGGGTGCCTGTGTCTCTTGGAGCTCAGGTCAAATGTCGATAAACTTGAAGCATATAAGCAAACTATCAGTACTCAGTCACTTACGGAAATTCATCCCATCTTTTTGTCACTAAGAAAAATGACAAAGGAGACGGCAAGTCTTGGAAATACTCTGGAGATCTGGCATTCAGAAGTAAGAGGACTCTTAGCTTGAAGTCCATTACTCCCCACTTGCTGTTTTCGAAACTTGCCAAAGCCAGGTGAAGCAGAGAAGCTCAGAAAGTGTCATGGCCAAAGTGAATGTGTGCTAAGCCAAATTCTGACCTTTCTTTCATTAAATTGGCTTTGATACTACTCCTCCTGGCTGACGCTGCCGGCTGGCATTACAGCCGAGCTCACCACGCAGAGGGTTGCTATCACAGTGCCTGCCCTGCAGAGCAGCCAGATGCCAGCGTAGTACAATCCGAAGTGAATCGCGACAATCGGAATCAATAGGAAACAGTGTGTGAATCACCGCTTAATGCACTCCAGGGTGAGTCATCCCGATTCAAACCAGCTTTCAGACCAGCACAATGTCAGTCAGCTTCTCACACAGTTCAATGTGAGTCAGATCTCAGCATCGAGTACAATGTGAAATGAGTCACTGACTAATACAGCGCCATGTGCCTCCAGTACCCGGTGCGAGTTGTCAGAGCTTCTGTGTGATATGAGTCACTTCATAGTACAGTAAAACGGGCTTTTTGGAGGCCATTCATAATTAAGCACAATGCAACCAAGCACTCAGGAGGAGATAATGGGAGTGAGCAGAGTAAACTGCTACAGGCACCAGTTCCACTGCATAGTAGAGAGGTTTGTAAAATATTAGGATGAATGATTTTTTTAAATGTTATTGTTTCTTAAAACAAGCTGCATAAAAAAAACTAGAAGCAGGTAGTTTCTCTGACATCAGAGCCAGAAAAGCAGGGTTGAAGCAGTGGTAAAAATCCCAGCACTGGAGAAGAGTGTGGGGTTTTATGTTGGTTTTTCTTCCAAGAGAGTGTCAGTGTGACTGACATACATCCACTGAGGCCGACCCCAGCTGCCACAGAAGACAAGGCAAGAGATTCTGACAGCTTGTGCTGTACAGAGGAGAAGATCCTGACACTGATTTAACTTAATTGCAGTTTGCAGTGACCTAGTTTGTGAAGGACTCAGCAAGGGATGAAGTTGTAGCCATATTTACATTCATCCTGCTCCACTGTCATAGCATCCATATAATAAGCTGGACAAAAACAACAGGTTGCTTTTGTTGCTTTTTCTATGCAACTGGTAAAGAATTCTTTCATGTCTTTCCCTTATTACAGGAGAAATAATGACTGCGACCCTGCTAATTACATGTTAGGGTAACATTTTCAATGAAGTCTATTGTAATAAAATCCAAACTAAAATTCTTTATACAGAGGAGATATAGGGCGTCTCTCTAAAACAAACAAACAAACACAAACAAACAAACAAAACCTCACAAAAATCCCATTGAAGCCCTAAGTAACCAGGTTTCTAACAGGAAAGTCAGATTACATTCAGAGAAAGACTTTAGTGCAGGAAGTTTTTGCAGAGAGTGGCCTCATGTGGTGACCAACTGGGCAGAACTGAATATCAAAGAAAAACGAGCAGAAGACATGTAAGGCATTGGTAGAAGAATACCTACTACAGGTGACACAATCAAGGCACCATTGCCTGTTACTATGTGGGTGTGATACCCTTTCAGCCATTCCTTTTGAAATGTAAAGCAATGCTTTAAGCTGGATAGATGAACTTGGCTCCTCTGAGCTGCTGCTCCTCTGCAAAAATAAATTAAGTAAAACAAGCAAAGGTACTCAGTTTCTGGACATTTGACATGAAAGTGTTCCAGAGCTGCTAGTTACAGGATAACACTTTCACTTGCAACTTCATCCACTGAAACCTTTAAAAGACTTGGGCACAGCAGTGCCATAAAAAGCTAGTTTATTCCATGTGCTGCCAGTCTCCTTTCTCTAACCTCTGTCTTGCAGTCACAAAATCTCAACCATTTCAGCCACCCCACTACAATGTGCCAAATCTCCAGTAATACAAGATAACTTTCGAGGAGCTCTTGCTCTTAACCTACTAAGTGGGCAATCTGACAACTATGCCTAAAGCATGTGCATATGTGTGGGCGAGTTCATTAACATATATTAGAATTCTTCTCTGTCTAAAATAGCACACTGCTTGATGCAGAAAGCCTGCTTGTCACATTTGTCAATGAAAAGGAAGAAGCACGAGCATCAAGTTTCCTGTTCATATTTCAGTTGACAGTGAACTGCCACAGGCTTCAGTGGGAGTTTGTTGCAGCCCCAAATATATCTGAATTGTTAAAAAATAGATTTAGAGATTTATTTGGAACTTGACCCCAGTTGCAAGCCACTTATGACATTAGTAGCTAAGAACAGAATCTCTTCCAACTCACTGGTTATCATTACTGGGAGGATCCAAAGTCAAAGCAGCAACTGTGAGAGTTACATAACCTCACCTAAAGCTTGCTGACACCAAGAGGTGGCTTTCATTTCTTTAGTGGAGTTTGGATCAGGCCTGAAGTATTTACTGAAAAATAACTGGACTATATGATCCACATCTGTGCCTCACTCCAAGTGGTTGTCAGCTAGTGCTCCAGCACAGAGCTTCCCAGGCTGTGGAGTTACTGGGGAAACTTCATGCTGTAGCCATGCAAATCAGCCCCGAGGACAAGGTAAAGTTCTTGCACACTTGTGTACAAGGAGCAAACGTTACATCTCAGTAATTAAGTTTAAGTAGTAGAATCTTTGCACTCTGAGCTGAAAAAATGTCATTGTGTTTTAGCATAAAGTGGGGATAAAAGTATAAAGTTTTATCTACAATCTTCTGCATATTCCTGGGTTTGGGGCTTTTTTTATTTGGTTTAGGTTTTGTTTTGTTATTTAAATTGACATTTGTGGCTTAGATTTTAAATATTCCTCCTTTGGGAATGCTATTTTCTTGGTAGCCCACCTTTCTGCTGAGAAATTAGCAAATACTATAAATGTTACAACTAAGCCAAATATCACCTGAGGTATTTTTAACCAGGGAAATAATTTTCACTCCTGACCTTTACACTCCTTTGTGTTTATAAGGTTACATGGAGAAATGCTTCATAATCTGAATGTCAGATAGGTATGGTTTGGAGTGAAAAAGGTACAACAGATTCTTATTTCACCACCTCAACATTCTTCTTAAGGCATACAGTAGTTTTGCCACTATTGCCAAAAGTAGCATCTCAGATGCTCGCTTAAATCCTTGGACTTTTTAAAAATTACTTACTAGCATTCAATAATATAAACACATACTTTTTAATATGATTCATAGATGCTATCAAGCAGGATAAGAAGGAAGAATATGTGTCATTAATTTTCCACTATATTTGTTTCATTGGTCTTTAGGGATGATTTTATAATAGACTAAATTTGTTGTTATCATTACATAAAGAAGGACATCTCTTTCCTTAGGAGATCCAGAAACCCTGTACCTAGGCATCTGCAAAGATGCTACATTAGACTGACTTGAAACAATGAAGGGACTGGAGACAAGCTGATCACCTCAACTCCTACCTCCCTGTTCTCGTTTAAGTATTTGACTAATTGGCACTCTCCATGTGGAATTTGGATGGTTCTGTGGATTCCTCCAGGCAGGACCCACTGTGCCTAGACAATTATGTTCCAGTGTGCTGATTAATATCCAGGGTGGAGGAAATTCAGAAACTCCAAAGGTACCCAATCAGCCCAATTCTGCACAGACTGCAGGTAGCCAGAGGAGACATGTAAGTGGCCAGTCACTTGTCCGTAGTCAGGAGAAACTTCCTAAAGATGCAAAGATGATAATGCAGGATAGACTCATGTACACAATTTAGGGAGGCAGAAGATGTTTTGTAGCTCCAGACAATCACCAGGGATAGATCATGTGTGCACTGGGGTGGTCCCAAGGCCAGTGAGACAGCAACGTGTAGGATCTGAGAAGTAATGCAGGTCCCAGAGCCTCATGTGGTCCAGCCACCACTATGAGGACCTGTTCAACAGAACCCCCTCCTGCCATGTAGACACTGACTGTCCTGTTCAAGTGACTCAATATTAGCAAAATTAGACCCTACTGACTGTTCATGTTATACACAACAATTAGCTAAAACCATACCCAGACTGAGTATAAACAGAGCATGAGACGGTAGGGGTTGAAGGCCTTTGGTTAGAGGTATCTTACATCATTCCATCAGTAGTCTAAAAGTATTTTTGGATTCCTCAAAAACATGTGCAGGAAAGCAGTCCATCTCCAGTTTTCTAATCTTCTATGTTTTCTTCTCTAACCCATTTTCACACAAGGTAAATTCCTGCTCCAGATGGTGGGGACAGAGAAGGCAGACTCCAGTTCTCAAAGTACAGAGAACATCCAGTACAGCGGATTCTCATACAATTTTTTCATTTCCATAGCACCTTCAGAGAGGTCTGGAAATCTGATTTCCCAACAATTAACAACTGTAAAATTACATGAATAAAAGACCTTTTCACTACGAGGTCTAAAACACCCTCTCCTTTTTGCCCTGAAGGAGCTTGAAGTCTACTGAAGGCAAAATAATAACCACTTCAATTCCACAAATCAATCAAGCAATTGCTTAAATTGTTGCTAATGTGGGCTGTACTAAAAAGGAGCAAGGAATTTTGTTAATTTTACAAATAATATTCACTGGAGCAATTGATAAATCTACTACCCATTCCTGCACACAGCACAACTCACACCAGCCTGGCAAGGCTCATTACACAGCCCTGGTGGTTGCAGCAAGAAGCAGCAAAGTGGGATGGAAAACTTCCATGTCCTACAGTGAAATTCTGGATATATTAGAAGCAGCAGAAAGACACCTACATACATAAAATAAGGCTCTTCTGAAGTTAGGGAAACAGTGCTGAGACAGATCACTTATTGCTTGTTCTGTGAACCTGACCAGCCTGACACGGTTTTATCCTATGGGACTTAATACTATGTGAACCAAAGGAGTTTCTACAACTCTATAATAACCTGCACCACTGCTCAGCTATCTACCTTGTCATCCTGTAACATTGACCCTGGATTGTATTTAGCCCAGGCTAACTCTTTATTAATGTGAATTAGAGATATGAATATGTGAACATAAAATACCTCAGAAGTAAGAGTGGATGTATAAGGCTATATAAACAGCATATGTCTGAATCCAAGTTACATTTTTCTAATCAATAACAATTGTTTACTGTCCAAAGCAGACTGAAATATTGTTAGATATATGATCCTTCCAAAAATAGAGAGCTATCACTCTCTAATTGAAAGGTGAAAATGTTCCATTTAGAAAGATATAGGTATCTGGAAGGAAATTAATACTTATTCATTCAGTTAATGTGAATCTGAAGCTGACAGAAAGAAATCTGAATCTACAAATGCATTCTACATTTTAGTTATCCTTCCATATTTTGAAACAAGAAAGGTTGGGAAGGGGCACTTGGAAGCCATGTTATTTTTCTGATTTTCTATTTTTGGCCATTTAGGCATTGCTTGTCAGATTGGGCCTTCAGAGTTTCAAAATCGGTTATAGTTTCCATCTATATTGTTGTTCTTGTATTTTATTCCTCCTGCTACACAGGTGCATCTTCTGCTACCGTGTCATGCATTTGTCTCTTGGGAGAGTGGGTGGTTCTCACAAATACAAGAACTATTAAGCTCCATAAGACAGAAATAAATTCAACATTAAAAAAAACCACAGTAGCCAAAGTGCAGCAAAATGTAATGCTGCACTCTGCTAAAATAACATTCTTTCTTCTCCTGACAGTTCTGTCGAGTCCATGATGCCACCTGTACGTTGCCCCTCAAGTTAAAACAGCAGCATTTCCTAAACCTGGATGAACATTTTAGAAAAGAAAGCAACTTTTAACCTCTAAGTATTTATCTCATTAGATTCAAGTCTGATATTATAGATTTTTTTAAAAAAACCTCAAAATTGGTAGCAGTTAATTTTAATTCCCCTACAATTGTCATGGCCTCAAAAGAAGTCAAGCTGAAACAAACCTACACACAAAGGGATCTCATGACACAGAGGATGACTAGCTATGTATCCAAAAATCAAAGACAAATAAAATGAAGGAAGCTATACTCATATTTATACAAGCTAGCATTTCATTTCTCAAAGACATCTGTCACTTACATATGGCACAACTTTCAGCATAATAGGGAGAGCACTATTAAGTGCTGTAGAGCAAATGTGAAGCTCAGAGAGAGGTCAGAAACAAACAGGGACTTCAAGAGGACTTGTCATTTCACCAACACCCCCTATCTGCACAATCTGCAAAATGCAGTCTCCAAAAAGGCTTTCTACAACTGTGCAAAAAAACCAACCAGTGCATCCACCAAAAATTGTTTCACGCTGTCTTCAGTTGAGGGGCTCAGTGAAAACCATGTACTTACTATCATCTAGTTTTGTGTTCCCTCCTCATCTTCACAGAAGCACAGACAAAAACGTATTTAAAAACTGTGGCAGTCAGACCTTTAATGGAGAAATGAGCATTGGCCCTTTCTTTTTTGCTACAAAGGGAACCAGCACATTTGAGACATCCTCAATACTCACCAAAGGCCAGATTTTCAGGAGAGCTCAGGTGTCTAACTCAAGCATTATGAAGCCTGTGCATTGGCTAATCAAGTGAAAGAAAAAAAAAAAAAAAAAGGGGAAAAAAGAGGCCCTAACTACTTCTATTTTGTACCATTTTCTTTAGGATGGCCTTGAAGTCAAAACCTCAGGAAACCCTTTTCAACTCCTAGGCTTATATACCTCTGTGCCAAGAGCTCTAGCTCTCCAAGACCCCTCACTTGTATCTTTTGTTCTCTGCATTACCACTCCCTTCTCATTATATTCCCAGGCACGTGAAGAATTCATTAGCCCTTTGCCTTCCATCACAGCACTTCAATGAGTGAATCTTCCAAAGGATTCAAAACCTAAGAACTTCCATGGGGGGAAAATCAGTGATTTAGCTTTTCAGTTCCTTTGAGGCTGTGGCCTTCAGCACTTCTGGGTAAGAGTTATAAAGCAAACAAAAAAAAGAAAAAAGACAGAGATGTTTCTTACTTCCCCCTTCCTTTGTTGCTTGCAGCCCATGGGATCAGAGAGGACGGAGATACGCAAAAGGCAGATGGCTACGACCCCGGAGACCCCAGGTGCTGCACAGGCTCAGCTCAGCACAGGAAATCGAGGGTCCAATGCCTGCTGCTTTTGTTGGTGCTGTTGCTGCAGCTGCTCATGGTAACCCCTCTCATTCAAGCCTCTAGGGAACAGAATAGCAGGGAAGGAACACATAGTCCCGCATTGGACGACATAAGCCAAAGAAAGCATTTGTGTAATTCTGCAGGTCTGGGACACAAAGAGATACCTGTGCTCTACTACTAGACACAACCCTCTACTCCAGTGTACTCCTTCTTTCCTCTGCCACTGAAATAACAGATAACAGATTTTAAAAGAATTATCTGTACAGTATCTCTATTGTTCTTTTTTTGTCAATACTGTGTAATGTCTATTTTGTTCTGGACAGGGTCTCCTCAGCACTGAGCTTCACCAAGGCTCCCACTAAAAACTAAAAGCAATACCAGAATATGTCCCAGCTTTAGATTTAGGACTTGACAAGCAGCACCGAAAGTGTTAAATGGAATTAGGAGAAGGTGGAAAGATTTGTAGGTCAGAAAATTAATAACCAGGTGCCCAGCACTCTTCCCCTGAAGGTAATTGGATGTTGTCATTAATTAGTACTGCCAAATCACAGCATCTGCAAATTGTATGAAGATAATCACTGGGACCAGAAACTTTAAACATTGTGTGTATTTCCTGAAGATGAAGAGCTAAGCATAAAAAAGTTCAGAAAAACTCCCATTACAAAAGTCACATTCCAGTTAAGGAAGAAAAATTTATCAATCAATGCAAAAAAGAAGGAATCACTTGATTCCTTAAATTAACAATGTGCTCACTTTCTTCCAAGCTCTGCCAGATCCAAGTGATTTCATTCTAAACTGAAGTAAATCTTCCCATACTCAAAAGCCCTGTACCTGTTTAGGGCAAAATGTTACTTAACAGATGAGAGTAGAACTTACATTTAAATAAACAAAGTCTTAAACAGCCACAGAGTTCAGCCAAAACACTGACAGCAAGTGGAATGCTTAGAAATTCACTATCCACCACATAAGCACTTCAGAGCAAGCAAACCTGGCACTGAGGTGATGGGAAGTGGTCATAAATAACTTTACAGCCTGGGCTAAGAATCTATTCCACTAATTTTGTTTTCCAATAGCACCTGTGGCAAAGGCTCTGGAGATCACCATTAGAAGGCAAGGGAAGAACAGACTGATCATTTCCTTGCTATTGGTACTCAGCTGATCAGAAGCCAAGACACACAAAATTCTGGCCTCCCTAATGCAAATAGTGAATATTTTGCACGGACAAAATGCTGTTTGGAGGTTTGGGGGGTTTTTTGTGAGGTGCCAAGAACTCTGGCTCTGATCCTACCAAGCTTTTCAGCAAGTGCTTAGAGGTAAACCAGGAATTTAGAGAGATATTAACACTCTGCCTGTACAGGATCAGTTTGCTATATAGGTATGATACCTATTGCAACTTTGTTAAAACATCCCATAGAAATTCCAATGCCACTTCAACAGCTGTCCAGTGCAATTGCAAGTGGCTCAGTCCAGAGCTGCATTACACAAAATTGGTTTTCCATTAAAGGAAAAAATAAGACACATTTATCTACTAAGTCATGGTATGTAAAATTTGTGTTTTACCTTTTAAAATTGTTGATAAAGTGCCTTTTTTTTTTCTTTTTTTTTTTTTTTTTTTTTTTTTTTTCCGATTTTACCTGGTATATTCCAGGATGCTCATTTTCTGTGCATCTCACTATTCAAACAATTCAAAGAAAGCAATTTACTCAATAGGGTTTGTGAAAGTACCCAAATTTCATGATGCTTAAAATTCCTATTTGCATTTCAGAATCATCTGGGAAACCAATACAGGCTCAGAAACAGACCAGCTTGTTTCAGCTTTAAAATAATTTCTGATTTTTTTTTTTAACAATTGTTTTCTAGTAGCAAGAAATGCAAAACAAACCGTAATTAAGCTATTTATATTCCCCATTCATAGACAATTTCCTCAAAATAGCCTAAGCTCTTGGAACAGAAAAATTATGAATAGGAATAAAAATAACAGTCTCCATGAGTCATGCAGCTGAGCTGCTGAACATCCAATATTCAGCATATTCTTAATAGTAGATTTAGAATGAACTGAAATGAGTCTCTCAGCTGGATGCTCCGAGCCTGTGTTCATTCTTACAGTCAAACCCAAGCCTCCAGCCTGTTACTCTTACAGATCCCAAGAGGATACAGTATTGCACTAGTTTATTGTTTACTTGTACATTTCTAGGGAAAGAGCCTGCCTCTATGTAATTTTCTGAAGCATGGCATGTTCTTTTAGGGAAGCTTTTGTTATTTCTTTGGTCTTTTTCCTTTTCTGTGCATTATCCTATGAAGACTGTATTCCTTTCTATTGGATCTGTTGGTTCCCCTCAATCCAAAAATAGCTCTGACAAGAGTATCACGTCCTGTCTGCATGTGAGGAATACATATCACTTTACATACTCAAAAAAGGCCAGAACCACTGGTAAAGGGGGTAATAAAGGCTTGAGACTCATATAACCCACCAGAATAAAGAACTAGCATTACTACTTACTTTTTCTCTTTATTTTCCTGAAAAGTTGAGATAGTTCATTGGCTTGAACATGTGGTTCAGATGTTGCTGAAAAACCGTGTTTGCAGTATTTGCTCTCCATTTTAGTAATACACAAGCTTTCCTAGGTCTTCAACACAGGGACTGCCATGGCAAAGAGAAAAACAGGTCTCTGCAGACTATGGACTAACAGCAGACAAAGACAGAGAAGGAGATTCCCACTAAATAACAAGGGTGCAAATAGGACTTGGCCAAGTGTTTAGAATGCAAAACAGGCAGAAAAATCAACAAAAAACCTTCCTTGAGATAAATGAGATTCTTAGGGATTAAGGCAGCAAAACTTGGAACATTAGCATTAAAGAAAGGTAAGATACGAATGAAGAAATTGTTTGATATTTCCCTAGAAGTTATAGCGACTGTGTTGCCTTGTTTCAGCTGGAGGGCCCGTTTCATATAAATAACAGGTTATTCACTGGGATCTTTTCTTCTTGACTTATTTTAAGCAGCTTTACAGATTTTATGACTGCATGCCTATATGCACATGCATTTCTCACTAAACTACCATAGCCTGGATGAACTGGAATGTAGTCCCCACTCCCTAAAAAATATTTATATTTTCAAATCCAGTTTCAAATGAAAATGAATAATCTACAACTACAAAAGTATTTTTTAAAAACTAGAGCTATCTTAACTAACATTTGATGAAAGAAGTTGACAGCTACCCTTCCACAGGACATCAAAAACTGTCAGTGATCACTAGTGATTGCAGCAAACTTTGTTTTTGTAATGCTACAAACAAGTGTTTCCATTCAGACATAGTCAAAACGATATTCAGCAGTGATAGATCTGCTCTTTGTGCTCCAGACCTCACATTTTGACGCATGCATTAGCAATTTCCTAAGATGCAATCAATCACCACATAATGTGGCTGTATCTACATCTGAACTCTGAAAGATGCTCACCCTTCCAACATCACATACAGAAGTCGTTAGCTCACTTAAATCTTGTGTCCTGCTTCCGAACTTCTGTCCTGTAACAGCGTTATCACCACTCCAAACCAGAGTCTGGGCCCTCACTCATCACAGCCGAGGAGAAAAAAAAAAGGAAACAAATCCAAACCCACCTACCTCGAAATCTAACTCACATAAAACCAGTGCATCACATCCAGCTTAAATAAAGGCATTGCACTGAGCATACACAATACAAAAATCAATGGAGAAGAGATTTGATATGTGACAAAGGGTATGCATGTATACATATATATCCCACATACATATATATACTTGTGTGTGTATTTATAGATTTGGATCCTGATGGATTCCTTCAACTTGAGATATTTTATGGAACATAGTTCCTTCTGTAGAAAATCTTTATTAGAGAATATTAAACAGCTTTCAGCTACACTCAAGGTTTATACACTTGTAACTATGGGTAATGTGCCTATCATTAGCTTTTGTCCTTTTAGAGGTTTTTTTTTAGTTTAGAATGAAAAGTATATGGTGTATGTTCAACCTTTTTCTCTATAAAGTTGACTAAAACTTTGTTTGCTACTTTGCAGTCTTACTGTTAGAAATCAAGAAGAAGAGAGAGCAAGGAGAACATCTCATGAACTCCAAGCAGAGGGTATTCCAAACTGTGAGGAAAGGTATGGTCTTTATTAAGCGTTCTGTCAAGCTAAAATGAAAAAAAACCCAACAAACCATACTAAGTAATTGCAATGATTTACCTGAAATATGAAAATAACTATAATTTATTTTTCATTTACACTCAATTTGCAAGTCACCTGTTTTTTTATCTTCTAATGAACCAAATGTGTGATCTACCATTTTTTACTTTATTTATAGGCAGCACATAAGCACATCCCCACTCTCATGACAAATTAAAACCAGTATTGTAAACTGCCTCCCTTTCTCCTGAAGTAATTTAAAAATACATCCTGTTCCCACCCAGCAAGTATGCAATAAGCTTAACCGGCAGTGCCCAGCCTTATAAAAATATTAAAGTGGAGCTTTGAACCTCTCAAAAGTCAGGCAACAGTTTCTTCAGAAATGCTCAAACAGGTAAAAGCACCTGCAAAATGGTAACATACAGGTGGGTACCTTTCAGAGTGTCTGAATCATTGCTTCTTTATATGTATATTCATTTAATTTTTAACCACAATTTAACAAAGAATATTAGAGATAGAAAAAATGTCCAGCTGTTGTACAGGTACTTCTTTGTTGCAATTGTTCTGAGCAGTAAATGGCAATTTCTGCATCACAGCAATCACCTGCATCAGAGCTTTTGATAAGCACACTTTCAAAAACCATCTTATAAATGTGTTTACAAGAGTTTGCACTTGGGTAGTTCCAGTGAGGAATCAGAACCCCATGAACCTTACAATTTTATTCCATTGTGATGGCAGATGCTTCCTGCCAGCTGCAAACAGCTTGAGTAACAATCATTCATTTCTCTCTTCTTTTGCTCTTCTTCCTCCTTAAGCCCTGCTCCCACTCTCGAAGAAGTAAATGCCTGGGCTCAATCATTTGACAAGTTGATGCTTACTCCAGCTGGCAGAAATGCTTTCCGTGAATTTCTACGAACAGAATTCAGCGAGGAAAACATGCTTTTCTGGATGGCCTGTGAGGAACTAAAACAAGAATCCAACAAAAGTGTCATTGAAGAAAAAGCAAGACTAATTTATGAAGATTATATTTCTATCCTTTCTCCAAAAGAGGTATATTGCTTTCCCTAACATATTCTTTGATGTTTCTTTGCACAGTTAGTTCTAACTAACTGTGTTTAAAGCTACAGCAATACTCAGGGAGAACTTCCCTCTTCCCCCCCATTCCACTACTTCCATCAAGTAGATATTTGGGGGAAGAAGGCAGCCATCGTTAAGGTGAGATGGTCAAAATTACTTTCACTGGTTGTAAGGAAGCTCTTCCTATGTTAGCCTGGCATGCTGATGTGGAATTTTTAGTTTGAGGCACAAATATATGGCTGATCACATTATCCTTGCTCAACTCAAATTGTATTTGTTGGACAAATCAGTTCCTTTTTTAGTTACACTCAGAAGGGGGTGTATGCATCTCTCCAAAAGCACAGTAACCACAAATAAAGTGTTATTTTCAAAGCACAAATTTCTCAAAGAGCAGCTGACAAAATATGGCATAGAACAAACACAATGACTTCCCCAAATTTTTCAAAACTACTTGTCACATTGCTGTTAGGAAATATGTCAAGTTTCAAAGACACCTCAGTACAGCTTGAATATAATCCTGCCAAGCAGGCTGGAATTTTAAATCTTCCAACATCCTTGCAAAATTGCAAAATTGCAATTTAATTTCTTTAAGCTATACTTTTGTACTTATAAAAATGCTGTTTAAATCTACTCAGTCTGTTCCTGCAAAACTAATATTTCTACAGACACTAGAGACTTGCAAAAAAAAGAAAAAAGACATTACTGTATGTTGTATGAAATCATTATATAGCCCTATCTGTGGTTCACAACAATTCACTCTGCTTTTTAACAGCAATTTGATTAAGCAACAGCTTCCCAGGTTACATTGTCCACCTGCGTCATACTCTTACTCCAAATTCAGTCTCTTTACAACTGCACTAACTCTCCAGGAAATGAACTGTCACAAAAAATTAAAAATGCTCTCTACTAAAGAGCAGGAAGTTGGTCTGGAAATAACCCATCGGTCTCAGTAATAACGGGATTGCAGACAGCCTTGTTCAAATAAGGTACCTCAATGAGGACATTTCTCTGCCCATACTCAAGATATAAGTCCATTCAAATTTTAACAGAATCATTTTTTGCATAAGTATATTTAGCAATTTTTATAGTCTTGGAAGTCACTAGCTGAAATGCTTAAAAAAGAAGGCTTTTTCAACCAATAAAACTAAACTAAGATTCCACCTGTACTATTCACCACTATTATTTACATGACTTTCTATTTTAATACACAGGTCAGTCTGGACTCCAGAGTAAGAGAAGTTATTAACCGAAATATGCTGGAACCCTCACAGCACACCTTTGATGATGCACAGCTTCAAATTTATACCTTAATGCACAGAGACTCTTACCCACGGTTTATGAACTCTGCTATTTATAAGGACTTGCTTCAGTCCTTGTCTGAAAAATCCATTGAAGCATAGAATTTTTTCTTAAATGTATTTATTTTAAAACAGACGGGACTCTGGGCTACAGAAATCCACAGGGAATTTAGAATTAATCAGATATTTACCTGAAAATAACTCAGGCAAGTTTTACTACAGACTGAATAATTTAAATCCGCACAAAGCTCTGACACAATCAGCTAAGAACATTTTCTGATTAAATTCAGTATTACTTTGCAAAAGGAAATGAAGAGAATGAAGAAGAAATGTTGTTCAAAAAATGCAGTATTTTTTCAAACATAGCAGACAATTCAGACACAAAGCTATTACAACTTATGTCGGAGGTGCAAATACCAACTGAGCATGAAACTAAAACTGATTTTTAAGTGGAGTGTTAAAATTTTCTTGAAAACCAAACCAGTTTCTCCATCCACACTGTGACCAAAGTAAAAGTATTACTGTCAATACTGTGTTACTCTAGGCACTGCCATCACACCTGGCATAGTACACTCCACTTGTTTTGGTATACTTAATGCATACATGGTGAACTAATGGAAACTGGCATGGCAATCTCAAGTTTATGAAAGTTACTGGTTGAAATAATGCTGCTTATAAAAAAAAAAACCTTTTCCTGAAGAATTGTTATTTTAGTACTAGAATCTGCTGAAAGCATTAAGTTCCCTTTGTTGGTATTCATGAAGTTAAATTATTTATTTCAGAGGAAGACAAGTCTGGGCATTCAAATTCCAAAATAAAGCACAAGAATTCTCACATATTTTTCTCTTCCTTCAGTAGGTGTTTGTAAAACCTTCCACTATTTGCTCCCAAGAGGACAGCAGTTTCAAACCAGATTGGGTTTGTAAATATGAAATTCTCCCATTCCCTGACAGATCTTGTAAGGTGTTTCCATTACAGATATATACACAATTTACTTAATAAAAGCAGGAAGATGGAACTTGTTATTTCAGACTGTCCAACAGCACCAGCTCTATCTAGTTATAAACCATGTTCATTCTACAGTATACCCTAAGCATTACACTTAATTCCTGGTCATATCTCAAAATCAGTAATCACAGGAAATACTAGGAAGAAAGTAAGCTGAATCCACATAAACAATCTGCAGATCTGTTACTCTAATGTCTTCTTTCTTTTAAACCACAAGATTCACTACAATTCCACTGTATTAAACTCTGGAGTTTATAGTGGATTTCCAATGAATTTTATTTTTTTTTCCTGTGTATTTATTTAAATGAGCCAAATGACATATATGTCGGAAAAAGACATAAGTGAAACAGAAAGACAAAAAAATACCCCTAGAAGAGAGAACCAGAAAGGCATAGTTCAGTGACGTGTACTGTAGCCTTTCCAAAACCTAATCTTTGCCTAATTCTAGCATTATGGAAAGTGCAAAATGGGAGCTTTCTCTAAAGAAAGGAAATGGGAAGAACAAAACAGACTTTAAGAGATCAATTTAATTGTTTCCTCAATGCACTTGGCAGGATACATGTTGTGCCCTGAATGCATTTGCACTTTGAAGAACATAATGATTTGAATTTTTCAGTACATAGCACCACAGGAGAAGAGCTGGTACATGGTAACAGTGCTATGGGCTGGATCAAGCCAGGTTGGATGGGGCACTGAGCAACCTGGTCTAGTGGAAAGTGCTCATGCCAGTGGGGTTGGTACTAGATAAAGGTACCTTCCAACCCAAACCATTTATCATTCTATGACCAGTTTTCACCATCTCCTTCCAACAACAAAACACTATTCAACATGTCAGCACAAAAAAGTAAACAAAAAAAACCTAGAGAGAGCAAAGTGAAGTGCTTTTGTCTGCTGTAGCACAATGCTGGATGACTCAGTTAAGAGGAAACCCTTCCATATACCACTAAAGACACTAAAGTTCAGTTAGTGTTTGCCACTGCTTAGCCTATCAATGCTGGTTACCTCAACTGAGTTTCTATTTAACACACCCAAGCACTACCAATACTATTACAGTTTCTGTGAAATATTACAATGTAAGTAGTAACTTCAACAAAACAAACTAGATATCTTCAAAAGGCAGCACTCATGGAGAGCTTGCAGTCAAACAGATAATGCTGTATTTGTTTTATTCAGGGTAGATAGGAGTGCTTTAAACCTCTAAGTTCACAAATTAAGTTTAACTAGGTCAAATTCAGCTTTTTGGGAAGATCATATGCACACATCAAAAAAAAAAACCTCAAAGCACGTCACCTCAAAAAATGGAGGATTTAATTTCTTTTGTCTCTCTTCCCTGCAAAGATACTTCATTAAAATCTGGAAGATAGACTGAACACTCATAGTCCATATTAAACAATATATTCTATTATTCTGCAAGAAAAAGGGGGAAAAAAAGGATGCAATGAAATTAGAGGAGAGAGAAAACTCTATCGGTTTGGACAGTTTTACGGTTAACATTAAATTATTAGAAGAAGAAAGTAGTAATTTCAAAGCTTATTTTCCATGTGCCACAACTTCTAAGCAATTAACATTCTCTAGGCAATTTTCATTTTACTTCTGCATTACAATATGTTGACATTTGCAATGTGCATTCTTTCCTGAAATATCTTAACAAATATTAATACTGTGCTTTGGGCTTAAGCTTATACCCACCACCAGTGGCAGAATGCTGATCTCTAGATATCCTGAGAATATCTCCTAAAAACCCAAACAACCCACTCCCGTAAATATCTTGTTATTTTGAGGATGGTTAATGCTGGATTTAATTGATGGCATGGAGGCAAGGAGGGGGGAGGGGGAAAGATGAAAACAAAAACCCACCCACACAGACAACAAATTTTTAATTACATTTCATTGCTATATACCTGCTCATGGTGCATAAACCTCTCAGGGCAAAAGCAAAGTGCACTGAAAAGGAAAAGTCTCCATAGACAAGCTGTTACATGACTAGCAGGAGAAAATAATCATATTGACATAAGATGTTATTTAATCATGTAAGAAATTATCACAAAATCAATTTATCCTAGGTTGAAAATGAGCACGGTTGGTTTGCCTTGGCATTTATTGAACTGCAGGATATCATTAAGCTGTAACAACTTTCCAGTCCACTGGCATTCTTCCTTCAATGTCTGCACATCATAAAGCAGTAACTCCCACAGACCATGCATACTGTTAAAGACTGCTCTTTTCACCAGCCTGCTAAGCACTATTAAAATTGCATGGGCTCCTTCAGCCAACACATTGTGCTTTACAGTGACCTTTAAACTCCAAAGTCATTAGCATAGTACAAATGGAGAAAAAAATATATATATTCTGAAGGGCTCTACCATATAAAGTTAGATTAAAATTCATCACACAAGCATCATATACTTATGCAGTTTCTGATTACAAAGGATATCAGAAAAAAGATAGTGATGAGAAAAGTATCATATCACAACGTTAAATAATTTTTAAACAACTTTTCTGTAAGCAGTTCTTAAGAACATATTTCTTCTGCCATAAAAAGTATGAGTATAGTTTCAATGACATTATGAAAGATTTTTTTAATACTAATGTTGTAACTAAATTAATCCCAAACTCTTTGAAATGGTAAAAGAATTCAAGAGTAGTGATGATATAGTGAAACAGAAACTAAAATAGTTGTATAAAATTGTGCTTAAAAGAAATGAAACTCCTCAGGCTTGTTTATATGAATACTATTTCAAGATCCATTTCCAGAGGCATGTGTTTGAAAGGTAATACAACCACATTTTACAGAATGAAGACTTCATGTTGATGAATTAAGTCCTGTCTAGGCTGGTAAGGGTTCTGAGTTTTAATTTAAAATTCGTATATGGTGATCACAAGTGGAATCCTCAACTCTGGGTAAAAACTAGGTCCTTCCCTGGATTCACAAAAGCCAAGATCACTGGGCAGATATTTCCCTTCTGCTTAGTGACAGTCAAAAAGAACCATTCAGTACAAGATAGTTTAAAACTTATATTTTCTCCTGAAAAGGATAACAGAGTATATGAGCAAATGTATTATATATGAGAAAATGTCTTCTAATGAGATCGTGCTGTTTTCTGAGCAGCAGGACCCTCTGGCCTTGCTTACAGAAGATTGGAGCCTTAAAGAACTACACACACACACACACTCTTTAGAAGGCATATGGCCTGCTCTTTCTCTCTATTAGGATTGTGTACAAACCACCTTAAAGTGTAGGACAACTCTGTTCCATCTGGGAGAATTCAAGTGTCCATAAAGGTAATAACCAAACCTGCTATTCTTAGATGAGAGAGATTCATCACCTGTTCTGCTGGCACGTTTCAGTTCATGAAATATGCCAGTGTACTGGGTCAGTCATAGCACAGCTGCAGCCCAGTAGACAAGCCAGTCAGCTGGAGAAATGAGACAGTCCCAGCCCCACCTTTGCATCCTCTCTGATACAGGAATGCAATTTCAGACAGCTGTGAAAACTGCAGCAACAAAAAGATTAGTACCGGAAAGTTTTATTTTTGGATTTGGGTAATCAAAATAAAGCATGAATAGAACAGATGCATTTTTGGATCTAGTTGTTGCACTCCATCTTTCACTGGGCAAAAGAAACAGTTCTTTTTACCATGGGGGCAGAAGAGAGAAGGATGAAGGCTGCTACTCAGCCATCAGGTATTATCAGGTGAAATCACATTTTATTTCAACTCCTACTTGGATACACTTGCATCACAGAAAGTGCTACCACAGTTCTGGTTCTTTTAATAAAGTCCAGATATAATCTGGTGACGACAGAAAGACAATTACTACATAGTCTCAAAAGATATTTCTTCTAAGTGTCACAGTCAGACACAAAGATTAAAGTACACACAGTGTGAGGAAGGTTATGCAAACCGACCAGTGCCTGCCCTGTACACATATGCTGTGAACAGCTGTGGAAATTTAGGTCTACTTGGCATCCAGTTTGCTGTCGTTTTTAACACAATTTTTTGGACTTGTTCTTTTAGAAAGGTCCCCAAACAAAACACTCTAATTGATAGTAAACATCTCTAATTTGTTTGTTATCCTCAACAACTTGAAAAAAATTAATTTTACATCTTTTAGTAAATCTTAGGAAGCAATCCTGCCAATGAACCTACACACAGGCTAAAAATTAACCCATGCTGCTAGTAGAAAAAAATATCTTCTAAAAGGCATTAGTGTAAGTTGAGTTAAAATGTTTATATATAAAAGGCTATGCAAGAAAGTTTAAATGCCAGGCAATTTTCTCCCTAAAAAAATAGTCTGTAACAAAACTTCATCTATTTTAATCATTTTTCCCTTCAGCAGTAAAGCCACGCTTCCTTGCATAAGCTGACTGGAAAAGTTTGCTGTATAAAGTATTAACCAAACACTTCTTGTCTCTCAAAGTTCAAGCGTCATCATACTATTTCCCACTCGTTTGTTACAGTTGATACCATCACACAAAAAACATTCAACATAGAAAAACTTGTTTTTCCTTTACATTCAAGGAATTTATTCTCCAGGAGCTGTGCATACTCTTCCCATCTCCTCATGAATAATTTATACAGTGCCAAAATAGACCTCCTCAGCCCCAAACTCCAACAAATTAAGTAATATAAAATTAGATATAATGAAAGAGTTTAATCTCTTCTAAAGATGTTGACATGTTTTTCCTTGAAAACACATTTGCAAATATTTCTAAACATGCACTGTTAAAAAGCAAACTCTAAAAAAGCAGCATTTATATAATTTCTCATATGGAAAAAATTGTAACTTTAATAATTTATTCCCATTTGCAGGTCTATGATTGACATCGGAAACTCTACATCTCAAAAATCATTTAATGAACAAAATCAATGCCATTTAAATGAAGGGAGTATAGTATTACCTCCCCAGCCAGTTTAATGTAATGAATTGGTTAGCTGGTGTTATTAGGATAGCCTATAACACAATGCCTTTGCTTATTTACAGTCTAAACCCAAGCTGGTTGTCAAGCACATTAAGCAAGACTGAACACTGAAATCAGATTTAACCACTATTTTAAGACATTCTTAGAAATAATGCCAACTGATAGAACGTAAAATACATGCTTTGGGCAATAAAATATATTGCATTGATCAAAGCTGGTTACATAAACAAGCTTAACCAATCACTGCAAAGATGTCATCATATCCACTAATAAATATTCAAAACCCCATGACTGTAAATTTAGTCCTAATCCAGAAAGAGCACATACAAACTAGAGAATTAATTAAATTGTGTTTTAGTTAACAACTGAGTTAAATGTTATGAGGAACTTATATACCTTTTCTGCTTGCAAAGCAAAGTGAACAGAGCAGAGAGAAACAAATTTCATTCTTACAACTGAGCAAATGTGGAAACGCAAAATACACACAGGAGGAGCGTGTATATTTCACACCACAAAAAATACAGTACATTATTCACATAGTTAGAAAAAAACAAGACAATTACCAAAATGTTTAACTGGTAAAAGTTTAATGTCAACTTACTTATAAAAATGAAAAAATATTTTAAAATTCACCATACAATTGAGCAACCTGGCCCTACTGACTACCAGCTATAGGAAGGCATTTAAGGAAATGATGGTTGTGTCAAAACAAAGGCTAACTTGAGGCATGTATGCTGCTTTGAAATAAAAAGAAAAGAAAAACCAAAAAACCCTCTCATTTGCAAGAAGCTAGATGCTTAGCCTAGTTTTTAAAGCTAATTACAAAATCCTCGTTCATACTGGTCCAGATGTCTTGACAATTTCTTCTTCTAACAGAACTGTCAAAAGAAAAGAATTTTTTATGAGATCTTCATAAAGCTTAGGTTTAAATCTTTGCAAGAAGAAACAGAAATACAACACCACACATAGGATATGGAAATTACTAATTAAAGCATTTGCTTGTATTTTAATCATTCCTTCAAGCATCTGTATACAGACACTTCTGTAACTGCCAACTTACAAAAGGTTTTTAAGGACAAACGTACTTTTTCAGGTACTGCAAACAATTCCATCAAACAATTTCTAAGCTTTATATATAATTTAGCTATCTCGGAGCACGTATCTGAACAGTGTGCACCAGTAAATTATGCAAACCAAGATGCATAAAATATTTTTTTTAATGTGGCAGTCTTAATGTATACCATGGCATGGCCCTGCAGAGCTGCAGTGTTCTTTACATAGAAAAATAACAGAATGAGGTTATCATGCTTCCCATGGCATGTGATCACACCTTAAACTGTAAATTTTACAAGCCTTCCTTTCAGTGTTTCTCCATTTTATTGAACTACCAGTGTTTCTCAGAAGCTTTATAAATTCCTGGTTTTCGAACTAAAAAAAAAAAATTCAATCAAGTTATCACTGCCCTACACTTATCCTGGTACAGGATTACAGCAGCACTCGTGTCTCTTTTTTATTGCTTCTTCTTTTCAGAGTAGCAAAAACCCAGAAAAAATAATGACAACAAAAGGTCTAAAAAATGCCTGTTACACTCACCAAAGCAGAGATTAAAACCAGTTAAAAAACTTTGGGTGAAGAAAGATAAAACACTGTGACTAGCTTGTCACCACTTCATATGGCAAAGCAGTACTGTAACTAAATGTCGCAAGGACTAAGTCCTGACTTCTCTCCCCCTTGCCCACCAACCTGCATTAGAGATCTCACACCTTCAGGCAGAAATACATTTCTAATTTAAGGCTATTTTGCAATCTCAACATGTAATATCATTAATGGGTTTAGAAGTATCTAAAATCCAACAGAAATTGGTTTGTCACATTTACTGTAAACCCAAATTAACCACAGAGACTGGCTGCCTGCTATCAAATATGCAGAGCAGTCTAACAGTCTTACCTTCCATCTGTTTCCACATTCATTACAGACAACAAACGTTGTCATGGGTTCATCAGCACTGCGGGTTTGAACCTTTGGCAAAGGCAAGAGCCAGAGTAGAAAAGGAAAATTAGTATCTTCAAGTTTTGCTACTGCATGTACAATGTAACTATTTATATCAAAGCATAACATTAAGGAAACAAATTTGCACAAAAATACAAGTTAACTTTATGTATCAACTGAACTGGGCTTTTTGCCTCCCTATAAAGCCATTATAAACTTGGATTTTGAGAGATTTAACAGCACTAAAACATCAATTTCTGCATTGAAACTGTGCACATATTTCTAGGAGCAGATTCTGCACTAAAAGTACGTCCAGTACAGCTTCACATACATTTACCAGTGCAAAGACTCCAAAGTCTCATGACTGAAAAACAGCTTGCTATTTAAACCATCTGATTAACAATATAAAACACAAATGCAGTTGATCCTATGATGAAAATGACATTCCCTGAAGCACCGTCAAGCAAATTAAAGCACCCTTTCTGCAGTTGTAGGAATGACTGTAAATCAGGGTCTAGTGTTAGTTAAATGGTACATTACATATATTAAAAAAAATACACATGTATATACACATATATCATTTTCTGCTATTTAGTCCCTCTGTAAAAATAAGCTTACAGACATTAAAAACAGTATCTCTCCTCCACATAAAACTCTTATGAATATGATGTATTAAGAATTAGCAAAAATTCAGCATTGCAAAGAAACTGAAGTTTCAGTCTATACAGATACTCATCTTGGATTTACATAAAATTTTTGGCAAATAAATACAACAAACTTGCTTTATATAAGCACAACTAAGAAGATCCAGCTATCTTCACGTTTTGTACTTTGTCAGCATTTTGTTAAAAGCTCATTTTGCAATTCCAATTTTTTTTCTCTTATCTAGGACTTAAGGTTTGAAAAAGGAAAATGAAGAGTCTGAATAACCACGCACCTGGGTGTATGTACAGTTCTTCTTTTTGCACTTGCCACATGTAAACAGATCAGTTTGGGTACCTCCTGTTTTAGCCATCTGGTGCTCTCTGATAGCTTCTTTGGTCAGATTTTTGCGCATTTCTTTCAGCTCATCACTTGCCATTTCCTGTAAAGGACAAAGAGCAGACAGAGTTTACTAGAGAGTTTTAGCTTTAAAGCAAGTTACCACTGTGTGAGCCAATACAATTTTTTATTTAGAATCCAAGAACAACAACTCTGTTGAAGGGCAATGTAATTCTACACATTTTTAATTTTACAAGACTTAAGCTGGGCTATTTCACAGCACAGAAGCTACAAGAAGTTAAAAATGTTCTCTTTTTTAACACAGATAGGAAAAAAAAGTACAAGTTACAACATCAAACATCTAGAAACTTTTCTATGCAAATAGACTTCTGAAGTTCAGAAATGCAAGCGAGGCAAGGTACAGGACTTAAAAGTCCTCCGAAGAGGCAAGAAAGATGTTCTCCAGAGGTCAGATCATTGGATAATTATCTCATTGACGTACATAATTTGCTATAAGAAAAAATTTGTATTATTTTGACTACTTCCATATTTGTTCTGATAAACACAGTACAGCCATAATGTACCATGTCACCAGAAATCATATAAACTTAGTTTCTAAACACTAACCAAAGAGTCCAGAATCACTCATTTTCTTTTTCTTTTGAAATAGTTTTAGTGCACAAGACCTCCACAAGGTCTAGTAATCAAGTGTGCACAGCAAAACCAATTGGTTACATTTTTGTTCAATACAATTTTATTCACCCTCCCATGTAGATGTGGAATGAAAATCTTGTATCGATGCTGTTTCACTTCAGAAGTAATCTTAACACTAAGGGGGTTTTAGCCATTGACATTTTAATCTAAAACATTAATCAAACAAAGAATGTGCACTGGACAGAACAAAGTATCTGTTTGTACATATGTACATAAACATGCAGAACAAAGAAAATCAAAATACATACTGAAGGTACAATCTCCTTTTTTGACACATTCTTTAACCAGCCTCTGTCTGCCCTAACTTTATGTAAAGCTATAGTAAAAAAAAAAAAAATACAACAAAAAAAACCCCACCACAACTTTCATTAGTCGACCATAATTATTTTGTCTCAGTCTCCAAGACACTCTTTTATACCTCATTTGAAGGGGCAGAATCTAATATATAGAAGCAGAACTACAGAAAAATAAAATGAGCCTTCATTTTCCTCTCCCATAAAACTCAATTTTTCATTTGACTTTCTCGATCTATTTTGACTTGTAAAGAGACTTTCATGCCCTCTACCCCAACACAGCCCTGTAATTCAGATTTTGCAAGCCACAAAAAAGTCACAGTCTTTCAGAAGTACAGGCAGCTTTCATAAATTACTTTTATGGCTAAAAAATACAGGCCAGGATGTAAGCCCAGAGGGAAATAGTTCAAGACCTGTGCTTTACTTACCTCTGCTGTCATTTTGGCAAACTTGTCAGGAGGAATGTTTCCACATAATACATTTTTCCTTAGGTTAGGGTTCTTAGCATCCTTGAGATTCGCTATCCTACTTCGTACCCTATTCTTGTATTTCATATCAGTGTTTTTTAATTCTTGAAAAATAGGTGCTTTGGATTTAAGGAACAAAACATGGATAAGTAAAATAGAGTAAAACATTAACAAGTAAAACAGAGCATTAGGAAGGATTCATTCTGGGGGGCAAGTTCTAAATCAATGTACTTCTGTCCTTCAAGTCCTTCCCCCATTCCAACCAACAGCTACTTTCCTGTTTAACAAAGCAGAATTTACAACTTTCTGAAGCCTAATCATAGTTTAGCTATAATAATTTTAGTTAGGGTCAGCTAATATGAATTTTTGGGTAGTAGGACCTCAACTGTAAATGTGGAAAGTCCTCCATAAGTTTATGTCCAGTTTCTTGACCTCATCCTGAAGAATTAATTCATTTCTGAACCAAATATTCAATGACAGCTCACTAACACTTTTTTTTTTGCTGTTAAAAAAAGAAGCCCTCTGTTCTGGAACTATTCAAACACTGCTACCAGAACTGCCCTTTTTAAAACTGTGAATTCATCTGGAAATAAACTCATAGAAAATCAAATAAAAACACTAGAAAATTTTTAAGCTGTTTACAAGAAAATATTTTTAAATAGCATAGAAAAGCCTAGCATTTTATGTAAGAATGCTTCAGTAAGATACAATATTGCTGCTAGAAGGAAAACATATTGAGTCAAAAAGAACCCACACACTCTCCTACTTGCATTCCTACATATTTTAAGGCAAATCATTTAGGTTGGGCTGATTTTTTTAAACACTAAATTTATGTACTGATGTGTTGAACACAGTTGCCACTTTTGTTTTATATGAAATGAAAAAACATTCAATATATAGATAAAATTAAATAATTTGAAAATTACCACCTATTTAAAAAATACTCCTGCTCTAGAGCACACAGATATACTACAAAGGATATCTTCTTCAATCTGAGAACCCAGCTCCTCTTCATCAGCACCAATAGCAATGTAATCATCTGAGGAAAACAAATTATTAAATATTAGCAACCTGACACTCTATGTTCGATATCCCTGTGATCCCTATAGTTCCAGAACTCTGAAACTCAGCAAATTACAGAACACCTGCAGTTAATCTTCTTTTTGTATATGTAATTTTAATTTACTGTGTACTTAATCTTTCAAAATGTATTACTTGGAAGAACACAAATAAGTGAAAGAAGCAGAACAGAAGTTTAAAAGCGTTAAAAACATTTAAAAACCAAAAAACTTCTGACACCTACTTGTAAACACAAATAGAAACAATAAACATTGCCGTACAGAAAAATCTAAAATATTACAATAGGCTTGGCATCTCTCCCATCTCCACAGTCTGTGCACAGAACAGATTATTATAAAAGGGAAACATTTTATATTGTGTTTAATCAATTGTTTTAGTCCACACAATAGAAGAATAAGCAAATAAATATTTTGCATGCATGGAAGAGAAAGATTTCATTAGAAACACTGTAATTAAATAACAAACAATCTTATTAGATTTGTTCAAATGCAAAGCAGAGATGTGTTATGAAACATGTAAATTAGAAGAAATAGACCACAGCAGTCCTGAAGGCAATACAACACTTGAACTAAAATGTCTCAAGATAACTGTTTACTGTTTCTGACCAAAATGCTTCCTCACCAAGACATCTACATTTCCAAGACAGCTTAAGAACAAATTACATATATCTCCCTCCTCATTTCCACATGAGTGTATTTCAGTGAGTAATCCAAACACCAACTTTGATCTCATATCAAAAGCCATAAAACAAGAAAATAACCTCATTTTTTTTAACTCATGGACCATCAGTTTACATGTGCTGTAGAAAGCAACATAGCAAAAAGGGTTTTTGGAGAACTATCTAATATGAAGACTACATAGAATTATGAATACTGAGATGCTGTATGTGATTGTGTGGTCCCAAGTCTGTGAACTATATATCCAGATGACCACAAATTCATGGTCTTTAGTCATCTTTGCTTATGTTCTATACCTGAATTTATATGAATTAAAAGAGAGAATAAAAGAGTGAAGAGAGTAAACATGGATGATTCAGAAGTCTACTTACACTGGGCCAAGGTAACTAAGCTAAGAGCAGAGAAACAGGTGCTGGGTCATAATTTTGATAAAGAGAAGGATGCATCAGAAAAAAAATCAGTTAATTCTGAAAAGTCCAGATTTCAGTTTGCTCCTTATCTAGCAAATCATTCCATTTGTCAGTTTAAAGACACCCAAGTGTACATGAGAGATAAAAAGAAAAAATCCAGAACAGTCAGAGAATTTACAGATACCCAAAAGGCATGAGGTTAAAAGCAATGCAAGACTGTCTTATTGCAGGTTACCTTGATGAAATGTCAAGAATAAATCAAAATAGAAAGGCAGCCTTCAATAACCAAAATGTGAAGGTTCCCAGGACCTTTGGTTAAGAAAGGCAGCCTTGTATATAGTCACACCCTCTCAGTCAAAAAGCTCGAGACAAAAAAAATAGCAGCCTCCATAAAAGGATCTAAATGAAGCATTAAGGAGGCAATAACATTCCTGAAAAGAAGATCTCCTGTTGGCAAGATATCAGATGAAGTGAGCAACAAAATGTCCTGAATTAGCAGCAATGAAAATGCATTTTGAAACATTCCCATGCTGTCAAGGTTACTCATTACTTGCACCTAGGGTGAACTGTTTTAAGGGTCTACACACATAAATGGAAACAAACAGGGTTCATTCTACCCTACAGGGCAGAAGTACAGTGGGAAAGACAGAAATAGAGAAGAAGGAAATAGTTAAACTTAAAAATATAGTCTATAAAGCTCACCTCCTGTTCTGAGAGCTGCAGAGAGCATTTCTCTACATTTCACTCGTACAGAGTCTGAAGTGCTTGGAGCCCGGGGAAAAGATGGGATGAAAGAATTTGAGGGAGCACTACCCTCCTCCTTCCTGCTGCTGGAATTGCTACTTGAACTGCTAAAAAAAGGCAAAATGAAAACCAATATTAATGTTTCTCCCCCCTTCTTCAAATAACTTTGTTTCTGGGCAAAATATGGGTCTTTTGCTACATCCATTTGATGGTATTCCAAAATAAGAACACAGGCCACCTTTTTTAAGTTATTTATAGCTCTACAGTCAATACAATCTTTAAAGTGTCTTTATACTATTCACTAGGGTATTCCACACAATAGAGACACAGCAGGTATTTCATTCCATTATGTGGCACATAAGCTTTAATTCTCAGTTCTTTACATTAACATGAAATCTTTTTTTTCCTCCCACGAACTTTACTTTAAAAAACAGTGACAATACATCACACCAACATTTGCTCTGCAGTGAATGCCTTGCATTCAATTTGCTTACTGTATTGAAAGGGTGTCATGGTCACAAAACCCCCCCACAATTTATGTAGTTTTACAAACCGTAAACCAAGTTTTAAGCTTCCATCTGGATATATAGTTAGAGGTTAAACTTTAATTTCAAAATGGCTGCTAAAAAGAGATCACTAAACTCAGAAATGCATACAAGAAATGAGCTTGCAAATACTCTCTTGTAAATGTTCTTCAGCTCCTGCAGTGACATTAATGTAGACTCCTTTTTATGGTAACATATTTTGTGTTTACCAAAAAAAGTGCAGAATGTTTATTAAATATAAAAGCTAACATCAAAAAGAAGCATATGCAATTACCAGAAAGAAGAGACTGAAAGTTGTTTTATAGTTCTCAAAGTTGGGTGCTAGTATTGAGAGAGGACAGAGTATTTGACAGACCCAACAGATGGAATAAACAATAAACTTGTCTGGCCATATCTTGACCTATGTCACTTTTTTTTTTTATGTCAACATTGGCACAGTTTACTTCCCCAATAACACTGTTTCTTGGACAACTCTGTCTTTCAGAAAAGCACATGGCAGCTGTCTCTAATAGGACAAATTCAGACCAAATAGTTTAATGTTAATTTATACTGAGATTATTTGCACAGCCATTAACCTTTCTTCTCTGGCTTCAGGGCTGTTTTGTGAGGAAGATGCAGGCTCCTTTTTCTTTTCTTCAGAATCTTTATCAGTTGAAGGTCCATCTGGAAATACAAAACATGAGAAACTCTCTTCTACCCAGAAATAGTAACTGATTTAAAGCAGTGGTAAAATATCATGATTTTTCCTGAACCAGTTGGAAATGCTATCAGCTCCCACTCCTGCTTTGACTTTCTCTTGCAGTACAGCCTTCCACTTCCCAGCTCCCTCCCAATGCAGGAAATGGAAAACACAACAACGCTTCAGATCCTTCCAGTCAAGTTCAGCATCTGCTTAAACTGGCAGCGAAGACATGATGGAAACATAGACTTTTATGATTTATTTTTCCCAACACTCCTGCATTAGGTAGACAGCAACTTTCTAGGTATTACATCAAATCTCTGGAATTTGTCTTCCATGCTTTATATACTTAACTTCTACTACATACATGCCATTCTTTTTAATTATATTGCGGAAGACATCATGGTTGGCAAAATAAAAAGTTGTTCTCATATTTTTGAAGGAGTTCTCCAGACACACAGTATTTTCTGTGATAGCTCTTAAATTATTTGCCTCAGTATTTAAATATATTTGAATCTGCCATTCCAATATAGGTTATGTTTCACTATGATTTTATAAAGAATAAAGACAAAAGTATTTATGGAAAAGAGCAATCACAACATTTAACTCTAGCACAGCAAGAATGCATACACCCTTCTTTTGTAAAGAGGATTTCAGAGTGGCTAAATTGAGCACCTGCTTTGATTTGTTCTCCAGAAAGGCTGGCTCTCTACTGCCTACAGAGAAAGCCTAGTGAGATTGGCATCACTGATTGACAGATTTCGTGAATTCCTCTTTCCAAGCCCTTATAAAGCTGCTATTACACTTCTAAATTCGTAGACTGTATTACTGGAATAAGCATATATTACAAAATTTAAAATTAATTAAAAACAGAGCAAGAAAAGGAGGGAAATCTGCTAAGGCTCAGTATTGCCAACACAGATGTCCTGAACTAAGCATGTAAATTCTTGTTTAAGCATCTAAAAGTATCCTTATTTCCAGAGGAACCCCATCCCTGTGCTTCTCAGAGGAACTTGGTTGTACGTAACACAAATTTGGGTCTCTTCAAACATCAAGCTTTTTAATTTTATTTTTATAGAGTAGAAAATAACTGTACTGGCTTTCTTTTTATAGGAACAATAAATGGAACATGATTTTGATCCTTTCTTGAACCTGTGAGTTAACAAATTTATCCAATCAAATACCACTTTATTAAAAAAATCATTGCAACAGGAGAGCAGAGAGAGCAGTACTGGATCAGACCAGGCAGCAATCTACCGTCCTGTTTCCAGCTGCACCTATAAACAGATGCACACAAAATAGTACAGGAACCAGAAAAGCACAAGAAGATACTTCTCCTAGCCTTCAATAGTTCACCCATTGTTTGCAAATGCTGTATTCAATCGTTGATAAATTTTGTTTAATGAAAAAAAAAGATAATTAAACATAGATGATGCACTCAGGCTGATTGTCTTTAATAAGGTGTAGATGTTATTAAAAAATTCCTAATAAAGATACTAATTTAACACCTTTTGTTTATAAAAATAATTTCACTAAGAAAGCAAATGACTACAAACTAAATGGATCACATGAGTTCTCTGCTATGACAACTGAAGTGCACTAAGAGAAAGAAAACAACTCCCATTTTTAACATGCATACTCACTCTCTCTATGGCAACAACTGATAACATGATATAATCTTAAAAGATGTTCCAAATATGCATGCAATCTCATTTAACTTCATAATGTTTTAAGTACTTGCTCATTTTTGTCAGAGGCTTTAAGACAGACCATGAGATCAAACAGGTATCTTGGGGTACGGGTCTGATCTGTGTATCCTCTGCTTATTATGCACCATACACACCACAGTGACATAGTTGGGACCCAGATCTTCTTTATCAAACACTTCCATTTAGCCCAGCACCGTTTTACCAAGGGCAGGCACCTGCCAACACCTGCCAATACCCCAATGGTTTCTATCCCCTACGGAAGGCAGGGCATACACAGATAAAAGCACAGCTCCTCCTATAGCTGCAAACCAGTCTATGCAAGGAAGTCAAGGTCAGACTTGAGCAGCTGAGACTGGACATCTTCAGCAAGTATGTCTTCAAAAATACAGTTTCTTTAATCACTTATGAGTTTGTAGACATTTTTGCTTATCTAGCTTCAGAAAGCTGAAAATAGAGTTAATATTATCCTAAGTGTTTAAGTCACTCTTATAGATCATAAATTGGAAAGCACTAAAAGAGATGCTTTCTGTCTTTAAACTCATACAGTAATAAGGCTATCTTGTCTTATTGAAATACTGTATTGACAAAAGAGAAGAGTGCAATTAACAGCCTGCTAGGCAGCATTTCATCTATCCACTGGGGGAAAAAAATTATCCTTGACAAATTAGAAGTCCCTATTAATTAGCTTAATTTTCATTCAATGACCAGACTCAAACAGAAAGGAAGAATGACATCTAATGGGAACTGTGAACAACCACAGAAATTCTAACAAAGTAAGGTGGAAAAAAATGGCCCTCCTGTGAAATGTCTTTAAAAATTCCAGTGTGATTCACCTCAGGAAGTCTACAGAACATTATAAATATTTATATAATACAAACTACAAGTTGTGCAGTTCTTTTTTGCAATTCCATACAGCTATTCAAACTTACCATTTTTTCTTCAGAAACAAATGGAAACTGTCACCAAATTTAGGACTGAAAACTGTAACTTTGCAGTTTTAGCTACTTCATCTTCAGGCAACCATAAAAAAACCTCAATGTTTTGGGTTTTTTTATAAGAGAAGTTAATTTACATTAACATTTCTTCTTTAAAATACAAAGGATATGGTAGCAACAAGAATAGACTAATAGCCATTGGAATAAGATATTTAAAGTTTAACAATGGCACTGCAGTTTCTACTTGGGACTTGCAATTCATTTGAAAGATACTTGAAGCTTCTCCAGTGAAAAATCTCTCCAGGGTCAAATAAGACATTACAGTAGTTTGTGTTATCAAACTAAAAATTTTAATGTAATAAGATACAGCCAGATAACGTAATTAATCTGAATATTAGAAGCCATTAATAGCTTTCTCTTAGATTTTTCTAACTATATTACAAGCAAACACTAAACATTTGCTAGTTACAAGAAAAAATTAGAAAATATAAAGATGTAATGTTATTAATTTATAAATCTAACTTCAAATTAAGAAAAGTATTAAAGGAAAAAAATTTCCAGAAACATTAGTGAAAGGTGGCTAGTTATTACCTGGAAGCACATGAAAATTTAATTTAGTGGGATATCATGTGTTGCCTGCTCAGGAATCACCACCAGAACCTGGAAAATTTTCTGAGTATTCAGTTTAAATAAGTTAAAGGAAAGAGAGAAGAGAACAAATATCGAATTATATAGTTATTAATTTAACAGTGACCTTCATATTCAATAATTGTTTAAGCTCCATTTTCCAGAATCTGACCTAATAATCTTGAGATGCACAAGCAGCTACACTTGTCAGCAATTCCTCTGCAAGATGTAGTAAGGCATGTAAGTAAGATCAGTAAAGTTTCTTTTCAGCAGTAGCACTGGGAGAAGGAATATCTAAAAATCCATAAATAATCAACAAAATGATGAACTGTTTACTATTTTTAAAGATTTTTTTATCATCAGTGACAAAAGACCATGACACATGGACTTACTTCACTATATGTGCTTTTCTCTTATATAGTATAATGCATTGTGTCTTGTTATCTCTCCACTGATTAGTTTAACAAATTAAAGACCTACTAACAGTACATGAACAGTTCCAAATATACACTTGACAGTAGGTGATTTCTATAGCTCATACTCGATATGAAAATGAAACTACTGAAATTATTTTTGCACTTGATTCTGCTTGATGTCTTATATAGACATGAACTCTTCTTATCAATAGGAAATAATACTCATAAATGCTATTAGACTCTAATAATAATTTAAGAACTTGTCTTGCCAGGAACTTTTTTTTTTTTTGAGCAAAGTCAGTAGGTTTTGAGATGTCCTTGAACAACTTCACTTCTGACAGCATTAACATAGCTGTAAGATACTCCTAGACTGCACTTGCTGGCTTCAGGAGAATCAAATCCAGGTTTGAAATAACAAAGGATTTTGTGAAAAAGTAATCTTTGTAAAATATTTCTGTGATGCCTGACTGGTGTTATTAACACTTCAACACTCTTACAATAAAATTACTCAGGCATGTCCTTCTTTGAAATAGGCATTTCAAAATGTGGCCTCACTTTCAGTTTTCAATACTGGCAACAGATGATCACTTAATGCTAAGGATATTGTGCCATGATTCTGCATTTTTGGTTCAGTATATAAAGTTACTGAAGGAAAATTTACTTAAGTGGTCTGGATATTCTTTTTCACTGTTTATTCTTCAGTCCAGCAAGTAAATACTTATTATGAGAGTTATACTCCTTAAGGATTTTTTGTTACTTTTCTAGCATAAGAAACACTCCTGACAACCTAAAGGAGTATGCATAGATTCATTATCTGCACAGCATACTCTGTATACTCAGCTACTTGGCAAAACAATCATTACTTGTAAATCCCATGTTATAACTGAGCAGAATTTTATTCTGAGAACTGAATTTAGCTCTTTATGCAAATTATGACCATCTCTGCCGTGTAGTTTAACTTTCAGAAAGAATCTGAAAGGGACCTTGCACTGTGGCTCACTCAGTGAGTCACTTCAGACAATGGTCACAAGCCCTCTGCTGCACAGCTTCTGACCCCTCCAAAAAACCATTGGTAACCTGGGAAGGCTCGAGTCAAGCCACAAAGATCTGGTGATTCATAACTCACTTTGATTTGTTCTCATGTTCCCCATGCATTCCTAACAACTAAATTCTGATAGCATTGAACTGAAACATTACATGCAGCCTGAACAGTCAACAATTCTTGCCTAAATTCAAAATGTCATTTATAAAAATAACTCACAAAGACTTCAGAGCTCTGAGTACAATGCTTGGTACGATTAACAGCTGTCCGCTTCTGCTGCCATCTTTGCTCCATACCATTTTACATGCACTATAAACAGCATAATCGAAACTCATTTCTCAAGCAGCTCAACATACGGTATTTCGTATTCTTCCAAGAAAGTCAAAACTAATGATAAAACAGAATAAGAGTACTTTGTAAGATTCCCACCCATACTTATACCCTATCTTTCACAGTTATGAAACTTTATGTTCTAATGAGTTACTGAGCAATGATAAAAGAGGCAAAATATTTGCCTTACTATGCTTTATGATCAGATCTACATCACAACCAAAACAAAATTTAACTACCTAAGTTTTGAATGCAAGCAGTGCTGTATTTTCAGGATTAATTATATTTTATGTAGTAAGTGCATTACCACAACTATACTAGAGCTGGCACAATAATGTACACACAATAATACCTGTTCTGTAACAAAAATTAGCACATGAACGAAGGTTACATACCCACTGCCTCAAGAAGTATTCAGTTCTGATAAATGCCAAGTATTTCTTATTTTCTTCCCAGCTCCTTACATGTTTGACTTCACCTCATGCAAAAAGCCTTAGGCAGAGTCTCCCAGCTGTGTTAAAACAATCTGAATCTAGCAAACTATGAGAAAGGGGAAGGTCCACCTCGCCCCAGCTGTCTGTTACTGCTACAATCCCTGTGCAGGAAACAGTAACAGCAAACAGGCTGGACCAAAAAGTGATAGTTGAAATTGAAGCCAGAAGAAATGAACAAAACAATTTGTTTCCAACTGGTCAGTTCCCAGCTCTGGTGTTCTGGACAGCCACTCCAGCACTAGTTGTAACACAGGAGGGAGCAGAGAGGCACCTGTGCAGAAGGGAAGTCAGGGCTGCTTCTTTGCACAGCAGCCTACACCCAGCTTGACCTGCTGTGACCTTCAGGCACCACATTCTTACCCAGACTTTGACAGCATGGAAACCCTCCAGGAAGGAGTGATACTCCTCATGTTTCACAATGTTTGAACACTTAAACGCCAGCAAACTTTAAGTAACAACGAATTAAGATAATTTTGACTGACTTAAGGTACTCAAGTGTTAAAAATATTAGACAATTATTTTTAGTGTCCTAACAAACAAATGGCAAATCCCTTAGTCACAGTGATAATCAGGCAGATCTCCCACTCCCCAAAGAGAGCAGTGTCTGAGCACACTCCCAGTGAGAATTCTGTTGGAAATAAGAATATCTCATCTACTATGTTGTCTAAGCTAAGTTGCAGTATTAAAAATTTATACTTCCAAGAAAAAAAAAATAACTGAAATATCACCAAATATTGATAGGGTTTTGTTCTTAAAACTTAGACTAATGACTTTTAATAACTTGAGAGCTAAATCACTCAATCCAGCAGCTACTTTTAGAAGTCTTTAGAGTAACTGATGCTAATATGCAAGCCAATTTCTCCACTTATATACCTTACCACTTTTATATACTGATGTAATAAAGTTGGACTTCTACATTTAGTTTAAAAATAAAAAGTACATTATTTTCACTATTTACGAGTTAACTCTGATCAGATCCTACACTAAGATCCTGTATTTGCATTTACTTTTATTATAAAAGTCATTATAAATTTAAAGGTATTTTATCAGCATGTCTAGTATTATCTTATTTTAACTACTAAAACTAACATTATTAGTAGGTAGGTTAAAAGTCTTTAAGGTAGCTCAAAAAAGTTTGCTCTAGAGGCTGTTGTTTCTACAGCATCAAAGTTTAAGGTTCTGACAAATTGTCCATTTCTACAGACAGTCAGAATATTTTCTATATCATTTACAAGACAGTTATAAAATATCTGATAAAACACTTCACAATTGATAAAAATGAGGCTGAGTTCAAATGGTAGGGGATTCACACTCTCTTGGTATTTGGTATATTTTTCCTGACAGAATAGTAAATATTTATATCATAATGTAAACTGTTTTCTATTTTAAAATCTTAATTAAAATATTAATTTACCTAAACTTACATACAAAGAAACAAAACAGAGTGCACCACAGTGCATGAACAATAATATGTGGACACATTTTGAGATTTGCTTTCAGATATATTAAGTGCTACCAAATACCCTTGAATAAAACCCTAACAAAAAGGTTTTAAGAGTATTAATTGCTTTAAGGTAAATTAAACAAAAATTATTAAGTCACTAATTAGTGAGCAATTTAAAATTATGAAGGTTTTAGAAAGTGCAGCTGTTTCTCACTACCTGTAGGTTCTAACAGATTTTAACATAGTTTTTACTGTTTTTTTCTCTTCAGAAATTACTTCATAACCAAACTTCGAAGTCTTCACACTCTCACATGAGATTTTGCACCAGCTCTCCTGAGTACTTGTTATATTTGACAAAGAAACTATTCAAAAAAGAGGTTTGTTAGTGCTTAGTGCTGCAGTACAGTCACTCCAGTTCAACTGCAGGCAATGAGACTTCAGAAATGAATCATGTCAGAGAAGCTGATTTCCTACTGCGTGCCAGCCCAAATAAAATATATTAACTGTTTCTCTGCATACAGTCTCACAGTAGTGGCCTGGTGACAGTCAAAAAGTAAAAAACCAATTACACCAGCACAGGAAGTTTCAATATTCATACAAAAGCACAAATATGTCTAAAGCAAGGCAGTGTCAATGATGAGCACTGGGGCTACACAGAGTTAAAACATGCAAAAGCAGGCTCATTTCTGCTGCCATACCTAACAGCTTCTTCCAAGACTTGATAAGAGATTTTGCTAAAGATGTAACCTCTTCATCTGTGCTTTGCTTGCGTATTGCATTCACTGACATTCCAATTCTGGTAGACTGCAAAAGAAATAGAAATATACATTATCACAAGTGACATGAAGACAATTTAACAAATAAACATATATAAATTTGTACTTTGACATTATTTTTTACAATATCTTTTTTCTTTTGTAGTAGGTTTGTTTCCTTTTTTTCTTGTGATTATCAGGACAAAATACTGCAAGCCTTTATAAAAATTATTTTAACAACATGGACATTTTAAAAAGAAATACAACAGTATTACCATCTGTCTTCATCACAAAAGTTTGGGGAAGGGTGGGCAGTGATGGTGGGCACAAGGGTTAAGGACTGTATTTATATTTCAGCACTATAAGAAGCTTGCTAACTTCTTCACTGTCATCACACTCTTAGAATTCCCATTTAGTGGCGGTGGAAAAAGCTGTAATACCAGCTGGGAGCAAGCATGTTTGAGGTACCTAAAAATGTTGGTGATACTGATATTCTGTAGAATCCTTAGCACAGAGAGTTCTGACTTTAGATAGAAGCAGAACTCCCTGTGTTTAAGATTTTAAAGAATGAGCTATCCTATCTTTCGGAAAAGACCGAGACTGTGGCGAGCTTTAAGCCTTTGGCACTACTGCCACCTACAGAGTGAATGTAAGTTACAATTCACGCCTTTCAAGACTCACATGAGGACATCAGCTCAGCAGTAATATTTTAGTAGATTCATGGCTAATGTGTTCGTGTAACAAGGAGATAATTTTCACCCTTTTAGCCTCACAAGAGGAGAAAAGCATTTAACAATAAAAAGAAGGATTTTATTATCTTTTTGTATTTTGACTGATGACTAATTTTTTTATTTGTTGTTAAGATGCTGTTTTGCTGCATTACCATTTACAGGACTCACTAAATATAAATCACTTTTGCAATACATCATCATAAACTTCCTTCTTCTTAAAAGGAAAATTGACATTTTTGTGGCTTGCTAAAAATGGAAATGATTTGTTCTTGTAAATTACTTCTTACAACCCAAACAACACTTTCTGAGGAACCATGGATGTGCTAAATGACTGGAAACATACTGAAATAACCCATAGCTATTTCAGGCAAGGAAACACATCAAATAATCTCAGGCCTGAGCATCAGCTCTAAACACATATTTTGGACTAAAGAAAACAAATGGTTACTCACCTGTAATTAAAGTGTTCCAAGATGGACTCTGCTCAGTCACATTAATGGCACTGGCCAATTCTCTTGATATTTTGAGCACTTAAATCTCAACATTATGTTCAGACAATAAAGAATAACATGTCCTTGAAAATCCATAAAATACCACATCTGGATGAGAAAAATGTATCTACCAAAAAACCCAGCCCTCCATTAATACCTGGGCATAACGACAGGCTGTGCTCATCCGCAAAGGGAAAACACAAACTTACAGACTAACTTAAGCACGTAAAATCCAAAAACTCAAGTAAAACTCAAAACTAACTGGAAAAATTTCTTCTTCAGATCACACAAGAGAGACAGTTTATGGAAACTGAACTACCAGCTCCTAAAGCAGTACATAAAAACAACTAATTTGTTTGCTTTTCTAGAGCACTGGATTAGGTCTACCTGAAGAGAGGAAGTCATGATCTACTAATTTATCTGCCTGCTAGCTGGCACAGCTAGTCACAAAAGATCAGTTTATATTCTCAAAATGAATATGTTTTAATGACAAACCAGCTGATAGTATTTGAAATTTCCTCAGTCTTCCTGTCAGTAGAGCTGTCCTTGTGATTGCCGCATTTTAAGGGAAAAACCCTAGTATTTTCATTCTTCCCCCCTTTAAATTCTAGAGCACTTTTCATCTTCTTTCAGAGTAAAGACAGCATAAGACAGCTGTTTCCATCCTGAAGCACTGAAGCTTTGGCCAGCAGCCTCCAGTAGGGGCGAGCAGCAGTGAGCATAAGTAACCTATGACTGAACCCAAAGCAGAGCACACGGTGGCAGCAGGTGCTCTCTAAACCAGAACAAATGCAAAAATGTAAGGAACACAGCCAGGGAGGAAGAGCAACCACCAAAGCAAGCAGGGGTGCTACCAACTTTCAAGTGTAAGTGTATGAGGATAGAGAATTGGTGAGCACTCAGACCAAAGCAGAGCCAAACCAACCACTGAAGAATAACTCCCTCTGGGTTCCCAGGTCTCATAGCCTGCTTGCCAGTGAACTGGGCTGAAGCCATTAACAAGGACTGCACACCACAGCCAAGTTCTACACGTGTGTGTAATTTCCTGCAAAACCTGTTTGTTAAAATAAAGCCTGACTGTCTCACTCAATGTTTAGCTGTGCACTAACCACAATTAGCACAAGAGACATGATGCCTTTAATGCTATGAAGCTGCTAAACAGATTTGCAAGTCAGACCACCAGATAAATCATTTGAGGAAGCCTACTGGCTCCTTGCCTAGCTGAGCAAGGATCAGCTTGCTTACGTAAAACTCATCAGATGTAACACCACGGTGGTATTATTTAGTGATCGCTCCAGTTTTCTGTGAAAATAAATGTAGCATGAAAGACACAGGACATCAGCACAAGCCCAGACTACTAATAGGCACCTTCCTTTTGCACATACCTGTAAAACTAGTCAGAGGACCCCATCTTTTCAGACTGAAGTACCAGCGGTACTACGTGAAAAACCATCACTTCTCTTATTACACAAGAATAACAGAGCTAGCAGAGCTTTTCTCAATGCAGCCAGCTTTCAAAACTTCTTAAAAATGGGTATGGAAGTATGCTTTTCACTTATGTTCTGCATTTCATCAATTCAAACACATTTGTCAGAAGTCTTGATCTACAGAGAGGAAAACAGTGCCTCCACTATCTCACGATCATCACCCTTCTTGACACTGGCACGCTAATGATCCACCACCAGAGCAATGAGTATAATTACTTCATGTTTCAACTCTCGCTCCGAGTCCACCATTGCTTAAGCAAATTTGGGAGGCCAACAAAGAAAGTTCATGTCAGACTTTACATATTTATCAAACTCTCAAGGAGAAATAAAAAGTAAATTTGAGTCCAAATATGTTGTTAAATGCAATCTTATGCAGTGGAACTGTTTTGAATACAGCAATGGATATTTATGAAAAGCTTCCTAACTAAGGTACAGTCAATGCACTAGGCAAGAGTATCCCCAAGTACTTGAATTTCCAGAGCATTTGAGATGAGATTAATTCCAAAGGCAAAATAACATTATTATACTTAATGCAAAATATAATTTGCATTACGATCTGCACAAAGAAACTCCAAAGATTCAGATTAACCAGAGGGGTTTCCTGGGTTTTGTTCTTGTTTTGTGCTGGTATTTTTTCTGAGGTTTTGTTTTCTTTTTAAAGAAGAAGGTTGAACATAGGGGACAAAGTATCAGAGTTGTACCAGCATTTCATGCGTAAAAGTGACACCTTAAAATTCCTATTTTCTGTGAGAAATAGTATTAGTAACAACTTACTAAGTGCGTTCTGCAAGTATGTAGGATGCATGAATCAAAAATGTTATTGCTTCTGGCACCCTTAAAATTTGAACTTTATAGCTAATTGTTTATCTGTGACCATTAACTGCCCCTTGGAAAAAAGTTACTTTTCAATCTCCTTCAATTTGAGTGGCTACTACAGCAAAGCAGGTCTCAGATTTAACTCTGACATTTGAAAATTTTCACAGATAGGAAATATCTGGCTGGTTTGGAAAAAAAGTTGCTCACTGATGAATTACACGGCATGCTCTGAAACTTGATGTGTAAGGAAAGTTGACCAAGTTTATTTTTTGAAAGAATTAAAAAATAATATATGAAATATATTTAAAGATGTAAATCCAAGTAACATTAGTGAGAGTATCCATGCAACTGGGACAGATTGTACCCCCCCATCACTTCAGCCCAGGAGAGTAAAAGAGAATTATAATTACCGTAAGAAATACATTACCCAGAGTGAGGGAGCAGGATGTGGAGTGTGTGTCAAATACAACTTGTCTAAAAGGTATCAACTATGTTTCTCCTCACTTACAAGGTAAACCTAGAACTAACTACCTAAGAAAAGATGATATCAGCTGTAATCAGGAGCGTTCTCCTTCAGAGGAAGGAAACACACCGCATTTGCATTACAGTAAAAATGTAAGATTCTATGTCCAGTAAATTTGTAAGCAGCTCTTCTCCTTTGTCTATCACAAAATTTACTAATCTCAACTTAATCAGAAAGATAAGCTATAAAGAGTTTGCTACTGGAAAAAAATACTTAAGATAAGTTGCTAAATGAAGTGAAGTGAAACTAGATTACCATGTAACAAAACCAATGCTTGCAAGGACTTCGGACCTAGGAATCTAATAGCGTAACCTTCTTTCAAATCTGCTGGTTCCACCTTCTTCATTACAGAGTAAACATTTGCAACATAACAACAGTAAGAAAATCATACCTGTAGTAACTCAAGGGTCATGGGAATATTCTTAAGTTCCTTCAACAAATCAAGAGCTCCAGCCTAAAAAAAAGAAAGAAAACAAAAAAGTCAACTTAGTAGCAATTGGGAACTTCAAATATAATGTCAACAATATAATCTTATCTGCCTTCAGGGTCACACACTGGGTTCAAACCACCAGTTCTCAATTTATCCACAGAACTACAACAAGGAATGTTCCACTTCACAAACTCTAAGTACTAACAGGCCTTAACTTGGAAATCAAAGTATTCACTCAAAAACTAGGGGAGTTTTACCCCATGTAACTCAAAGGACAGCCAAAGCATTCTTTAAATTACTACTTAACCAACACACATCTTCAAGGGTGCTTTGCTTAATAGCAACAGAAACAATCCAGACAACAGTAGCAATTTTCAGTTCAGAACAACCACATCAGTTTTAGAACAAGAACCTGGAGTTGAGAAGGTCTGCACATATATATAAAACATACAGACAGACATCATTCTTAATCATATTTGTGGTGATGTGGTAAAGCCACACGTCTGGGTTTTCCTTTTTTCACTACTAAGCCTGTTAGGAAAGGTACTAACTAATTCTGTGTAAGCAGCTTTCTAGACAGATGATTCAAGTTCAGAGACTACTATTAGATGTTAAGAAAGTCTAAACACAGCTACTCCAACAATTCACTCCTTAGCAATATAGGCCTTACTTTAAAAAAAGTCTGCATAAATGTGAGTTCTGTAATTCTCTTTAACCTCTCCAACCTTGATGATTTACCAGCTGTACTTCAGCAGAGCTCTGCACCATCCACTTCTGACTGTGCACATGGGCTGTGAGCCTACACAAACATCCCAAAGGCTGAGATGATTTGGCTGTTATTCAAGTGCATGTGGTGCTGAACCTGGAAGCTATGAACAGAAAGGAGGAAACAACTGCCTGTGCATCCAAGAGGCCATTCAGTTCACCCAGGCTCAGTTCATTACCTTTCCTTTCTTTTTTTTTTTAATTCATGAAGTTTGGAAATAAATCCCACAAGATTTCCATTTGCAAATCTGTGGAATTGGATTCACTTTTCTTTCCTTACCTCTCAACTCATCCTATTTTATTTTGCATTTTGGTTGCTTTTCAAATTCTCCCTAATCAACTTCTAATATAACACCTGTTGCAAGGAAACTATTCTGCTACATCTGCTGTCTTATACTTTATCTTTAGTGGTTAAAACAACCACTAAGAGGTTGAGAAAGATGGAAGTAGAACTTTGGTGTCACATCCAAAAACCCTCAGCTGTGGATACCTTCAAATGCCTGCTACAACCTTTGTTTTTCAAACATTTCTGACCCAAAGAGGCCTCCAAACCCAAACATTTCACCAAATCCCACCTTATACAAATTCAATTAACATGTAAAGCTAAAGTTTTACTATTTTGCCATGAGAGCAAAAGCCTCATTTAACTTTTATTCATGATATACAAAACTTCTCCAGTCTTAACCACAGAATTTTAGCAGCAATGATGTAAGACTGAGAAATGTCACAATGTTTTCAGGTGCTAAATTGAGTTGGCACACTAAACCATATCTTTCTCTCAAGAGCCATAAGTGTGGTTTCTTCTATGCAAACACAGATCCAAATAAAGCAAGCTAATTATCTTCACTGCTACAAAACAAAATCAAATTCAAGAGAATTTTCTTAGCCAAAACAAAACTAATGACAGAAGTCAATGTGCCATTTAAAAAAATATTATCTGATAATACTTACCTTCAAACCAATTAAGTTATTAGCACACTGTATACAGCATGTAATTTCAAAATAAACACAGCTTATTGCAGTCTGCAAATTCAGTATGAAAGTAACACTGTAATGCAAAGTAGCACTATCTTCATCTCATCTTAGAAATACAGTCTAGTCAAAATTCCTTTGCCTGTTATATCCTTTCTCAACTGCACATGTGAAAAAAAATTTATTATTCCCAGAGTAAATGCTTTTTAATACTAGCAACTTGATACACAGCAGGTTAACAAACTATGCAACTATTAAAAAAAACCACCAGAAAACAAACAAAAAAAGAAAAAAACCCACAAAAAATGCCGCAAACAAGAAAAAAAACTCAACAAAACAACCAAAAATGCCACAAACAAAAATCAAAAAGAAAAAAAGACAAACCCAACCAAAAAACAGGTTAACAGATGTTATCTACATTTTATGCCAGTTTCTCTACCGAATTACCAAAATTGATAATGCACTAATCCTTTCCAAGCCTTCACTTCTTGAATCAATTATACTGTGCACCAAGAATTAGATGCTTTAAAATTAAATTTAAATTGGTTTTAAACTCATACCAACTAAACAGTTTTTCATAATCACTTTTCTTTAGCATAGAGTCAAATACCCTCTGTATCTCAAGACTGGTGTGGAAGTTGCATAGTATGACTTGTAATTACTTTTCTCCTAATGAAAGAGTTCTGTGTTCAAAACCCCCCCCCAACCATAAAGACTATTGTTATAAATCATCTTTTAAAGGTATTTCTATAATTTTACAGAAAATGAAAGGCAATGCCCCATTCTCCTAGGCTGGCTGGCTTTCAATTTACCTTGCCACTTAAATTAACAGAAGTCAGCTTCATACAGATCCAGTAGATTACTCCTCTCAACTTCTTTCAGTTGGTCAGATCACAACAGCTCAGAATGGCATTCTATAGTCATATTTTAAAGCTGAGCTTCAGGCAATAGAAAATGGAGTGCATTTTAAAAGACGGGAGAGCTATCCAGTTATAATTCTGTTCTAGTTAAAGGAGTATATATTTAATAACACAGACAATTTTATTTTCTTCTCTAAACTTACTCAAGCATTCTCGATTTTTTTTTTTAATTCATGGGTGTAGCCTTAATTTTCATACCTATTAATTACGGCAGCTTAATGAGAGAAAGGTGTACTTACATACAACAGAAGCTCAAAGGAAGGCACTACAGGTTTTAATCCAATCAGTTCTGAAGCAGGAGTAGTATCTATTTCAGTTTGAAGCAACAGCAGAAATACATATGGCACAGTGCATTAAATACTAAATCATATTATTTTCTCCTTCCAAACAAAAGAACTGCATGTATCATTTCACTAAAATAGTTATGAAATCTGCACAGCTACAATTAAATCCTTAGTCAAGGCAAATCACCAAGAGCCTGACTCAGAAAGTGTCTGCATGGCCTGCCCCTTTAACTCATCAAAAGAAATGCTGCAGAGTGCTTTGCCACAAGCCAGAGTCACCTTTTGTATGAGAGATCAAACATTTCTTGTCATCTGACTCTTGACAGCTTGAGAGCGAGCAAGTATCAAAGCTTTTTTCTCTTTCTTGTATTATTAATGCATGTCATCAAATCATTCTCATTCAAAGACACGGACTAAGTACCTGTTCTTGATGAGTAAAAATGGAGAAAGGAACACAAGAGCTTGTCAAGAGCATCATTATTCAGTGGGTACTTGTGTAAGAATGCATTTCTCAATTCTTCTTCACCTTTGTGAGACAATAAAGTACCTCTTCATAGGGACTACCTTAATAATTTCGCTAAAGTTAGCATTTTAACTGCAGGGCAGAATTAGGTAGGAAATCACTTTATGAAATTAAAGAAATACCTTGTAAATGACAAAGACTAATAAGAAAAACACAGAGACATTTCCTGTTTTTAAAACTAATGTACATCACTCCTTCGATACAGCTTAAGGGTTTTTATCATGCTACACACATGTCCTTTGGAAAAACTGTCAGATCTCCACTCTTGGCCACAGTGGCAGCTCATTGAGAAAACATCAGCCTAACAATAGAGCCACTTGTGTGTAGTAAAGAGCCGGAGCTACGCTCTGTTTCAAAACAGTACATAAGCCCAACGCTGCTGGTGCTCTCACTACTTGGAGAGAGGTGAAAGTGAAGGTTTAGCTCTGGCTCCAGCCAGGCACAGCCTGGCCCAGCTGTGCCCGCTGTGTTCAGCCACATCGCACCTATGCTGACCCCAAGGAAGTCACTGCACCGCCCCCAGAGCTCTGAAAGTTAATGATGTTACACATGCGTGAGTGTACACATGTCTTGAGTGAGAATACATATTCCCAGCTGCTGTTAGGAATTTCATCCATACTCCTAAGACTTTCAGATCACAGAGAAATAAATACCCTGTGGTCACCTGCAGTATCCCTGGTATGGCTACTCTCCAGTATCAACAGTTGTTCTCATGCTACCTGAGAGCTGCTGTTTTCTTTCTGTTATCAGAAGTTTTACAAATAAAATTGAGCTGGCTGCACTTTATCCTTCTCGTGACCGTGATATTTAAACATTTCAGTCAGTAAGTTTTCACCCTTTCAACACCTTGTAGGAAAGAGCCACTACTTCAGTTTTAGAGAAAATGAGAGAGCAAATGCTTTTGTGCATAAATACATAGAGAATAGAAATAAAAACAAAGAGCGAAAAATAATGGAATTAATAAATGCCAGTCATAAAATATTTTTTCCTCTAGACAAGGGTCTTGCTGCCACAATGTATCATTTGGAAGTTCAAACATATCAGAGCTAAACTCTGTCATATTACCAAACGTCAAAGACTGAAGCATGGCTTGTACTTACAATGAATTTGTTTGTATTCTTAACTAAACAAATCTTATTGGTTTAATACAATCAGTAGTTCTATAAATATGCAAATATTATTAATAATTCTCTTCATACTTCCAGTATTAAGCAATAAGAAAACTACTTCTATAAAGTGGAATTCCAGTGCTGAGTTCTGAACTATTACTGTTACTAAGTTTTTAATGCACTATCATAACGTATAGAAAAAAAACCCATAACTTTATGTGTATAATAGTACCTTGCAGGAAGAACAACAACCACATGCACAAGCACAAATTTCTAGAGAATAACTATGTGCCCACCTGATAAAGAAGCAGTAAACAGAATTTGCAACTTACTGACATGCTATTTTATGTATAACCATGATAATTATCTGCCTGTTGCTCTACACTCTGATTTTACTTGCTTTGATGTGTTTGTAGACTCTGTATAAACACCATCTGTTATCTGAGTTCTGTATGAAGGGCATACATGACAATAACACTTGAGTTAAGCCAACTGAATCCTACCTAACTATATTCGCACAAGTTATTCTCCAGATTAATAGACACAATTAGAAGTGAGGAAAGAAAGAAAGAGAGAAAGAAAGAGAGAAAGAAAGAGAGAAAGAAAGAAAGCTCACATTCCTCATCCGTTTGTGAAGTTTACCCGTTTATTCACTCAACTCTGGCCCTGCCGCAGCTGGTTTAGGCTTTTCACTCATACCTTAGTTTTTACATGCCACCTAAACCTCCAGCTTTCACATCTAAGAGCGACACCCCCCTATGTACAGGAGGCCATCTCGGCACTCGCTCTCCTCGGGGTGACAGGTTTTACCCGCGCAGGGCCAACACCGCGGTTTCAGCGAGCAGGAAAAGGAGGGCGCAGCCGCTCCGCTCCCATCCAGGGCCGGTGCCCGGGCGGGAACCTCCTCTGGGCCGAAGGCGCTGGAGCGAGGGCGGCGGGGCCGCCCCGCCGGGGAGCAGAACCGGCTGCCGGCTCCCCTCGTGTGGCGGGGCCGGGGGGAAGCGCCGCAGCCCCGCGGGGCGGCGAGGGGAGCGCCGAGGCCGCCGGGCAGCGCGGGGAAGCGCGGCGGCGGGAAAGGACAGGCCCCGCGCCCGCGGGAAGGAGGGAGCGCGGGGCCGGCCGGGGCCGCGCCGGGGCCCGCGGCACCGCCGCCGATCCGCCTCCCGACCCGTCCCGTCCCAGCGCTCACCGCGTTCTTCTTCTGCACCATCTTGTCCATTTTCTTGGCGATGCGGATGATCTCGTCCTCCGTGGCCATGGCGGCGGCGGCCCGGGCGGCGCCAGGCAGCGCGCGTCGAGCGCCGGCCGCGGGAGCCAGGCAGCGCTGCCGCTCGCCGAGAGCAGGGGCGGGGCCGCGGCTGCCGCGCTCCCCCCAAAGCGCCCCAAGCCCAGCGAAAGTACAGTGAGATGTCTGATCTCTGACAACCTTCCTTAGGCACCGCACCGAGCCTGACTGAGTTCAAGAAGCGTTTGGACGACGCTCTTCATGGCCATGGTGTCATCCTTGGGGTGTTCTGTGCGGGGCCAGGAGTCGGACTCCATGATCCTAGTGGATCCTTTCCAAATCAGGATAATGTGCGATTCTGTCACCCTCTTACCCTCTCCATGTCCCCGCAATGCTGCTAACGCTGCCCCTGTTCGTACCCGCTAACACAGTGCGAACCACGCCGCCCAGAATCCCCTTCCTACGACCCAGGCTCAGAATTACAGCAGACACTTGATTTTTATTAGTGCCAAAGGGATGGGAAAGAGCCCCTGTCCCCTCTAACAGAAAAGGTTTTTATACATACATCTTTTGAAAAGGCTTGAGAGCTATATTTATATAAAATGGAGTGAGGATTTCAAGTTGCAGCTTCAGAGTGAAGTTTGGAAGGTGCAAGTTCCGAGGCAGTGCAACACAGCTGGATATAAACTTTGGCATTGGTCAAACATCACACTGTGAGGTGCTACCGTGCTTCTAAGTCTTAGATCTAGTTTAAATCTTGTGTGCGTTCCAGTGGGACACATCACATTTATAAAGTTTGACACATAAATATTATACATCATTACTAACGGAATTCTCTTCATCAGCTGAACTAGATGCCTTGTTACTGTGATTATTGATTTAGAAAAGCATAATGAAACTATTTTTGCCGTAAAACAGGAGTGTTTACTTCACAAAAACAGTAGGCACATGTGAAGGTTAGAGGAAGATTATCCCTTCCTAAGATCCAGGAGGGTGCTTATACAGCCACTCAAATCCATTATATGTAAGCAGTTGAATGCTGTGGATGCCCCAGTTGTGAACCAAGGACTGTAAAATACGGACATTTTGGAGAATAGGCAAGGCAGACCTTTTCCTCCAACAACACTCAAGGAAGCCATTACGGCAAGAACCATAACAACACACTTGTCTATCATGCACTGGGAAGCAAGACTGTCCTGGGTTTTGGTGGGTTTTGGGCACAGGCGGATTTGGGCACTTCTGCATCCTGCTCAGTGGACACAATGGTCAGCTCCAAGGCCTGTACATATTAGAAGCGATTAAAATTATTTGGGATCAAGATCTTCCCCCAGGTTAGATCTGGGCCATGAACTGGACAAGCATACAGAATCTCTGCTGGGTTTTTTTTGGTTTATTCTGCCCAACAGGGGGTAAAAACATCCCACAAGAACAAAGAAAATATATTAAGGAAAATAATACCTTTTCATTCAGGAGCAGATTTTGGGGAGACAAAAATAAAATAATGCTGCTTCTCACAATATATAATTGATTGTGCCAGTTCAGGTTTAATTCCACTTTGTTTAGAACTTAGTTATCTAGTACCTGTAATAATCAAACACTGGTATTTAACCTTATGCTAACCTCAAATGAAGCTTAGCATCATTGCTCCCCACAGTCAATCAATGATAAAAACAACACACAGGGTGTTGGCAGCTCAAAGCTCTTGCTGCACTACAGGATCAACAAGCTTGTACATGTTCTACAGTAGGTGCAAGCTAGGTCAGGGACAACGCAATCATAAAACTAGAAATCTCAAATTCGTCAGTTTAAATGTATTTAAACTCTGGAATAAAGTCATCCACACTTTTCTAACATTTCTTTTAAAATACAATTCAACACCTACTTTACTGGAAATGCAAGGAAAGAGCTCAAGATGCAGATGAAATCTATTAATATCCAAAATGTATAAGGTGAGAAACTGACAATTACAAATTAAATCCCATGAGAACACTTACAAAAGGCAAAGCATATCACACTTATTTAACATCTAATCTTAAAAAACTAGCATCAGAGAAATATTTCAGTAGGGAAATCAAAGAATAATCAGATGGCAATGCATATCCTTTTTATTTTTTGCAAGTAGATGCATTAAAAGAAAACACAATACAATTCACATTATTTGTATTGTATACTACAATACCAGAACAGTATCAATTAACTGAATCAGTACTAACCAAATTCTTTCTATAAGCTGCTCCACCAACCTTGGGACAGCAAGTTTTTATCAAAGCAGCTTTGTACAGCACCAATCTCTACTATAACAGGTCACTCCAAGTCCAAAGAAGATCAAGAGCGGGAAAAGCAATCTAAGTGACCTTTTCCTTTCTGTTTAGCATCTTTCTTCTAAATTAACACATTAGAAAGAAGAAATAACACACTGTTCGTTGCACTGCACTTACCTGTTACGGCACATCCTCACCACTCTTTTGCAACATTTTCTAAAGGTTATTGCACACCTGCTCATGCAGAAAGCCTGTATCCAACTCTCATTTGCTGGATCATGGGGCCTTCTACAATACTAGGACTTAGCAGGCAGAGATGACTTCCTAAAAGAGTGCACTTATGAAGTAATGTAGATTTTTACTGACTAGTCTCATTTGATATGAGACAGCCTCTTCAGAAATTTGGGGCAGGAGGGGCAACACATTCACTTCTACGGAATCTGAAGTAAAGAATCTTTGAACTGCTCTCAAGGCACTTAAAATCCTACATATTCAGGACTGATATTCGGTATGGAAAAAGCTCCTCTAATCGGGTACTAACACAACTGTGCAAAATGTAACATTCACAGCATGCAAAAGGTTTTATGTAACCATGTTCTGGCTATTAATTCTCTCCTCTTTATTTGAGCCCTGAGTGCAACGTCTTAGATTTTCCAAACAAAATCTCAGCTGGTCTGAATCAGCCAAGTGGTCCCCAACCTTTGCAGAGAAAGAGGAGATGAGTCCAATCACAGACATATAAGGGGAGCTATAACAAACAGAAGTTTCAATTTTTCGTAAGAAGATTTTGTTCAAAAACTTCTGAAATAGCAATAAACATCTTGATACAGTTGTTCTGTAGCTATACAACAGATGGGTTGGGTTTCTTTATTTTTTCAAAATGTTCTTTACCGTTTCAAAATACCTTCAGTTTTTCAACTTAAAAGCAGTAACTGCAAGCATTTAAATATAAAAAAGTTAAGCTAATTTTGTGGGTTTTTTACTTCTTTTTTAGTTTCTAGAGTTTGTTAGATTTCTCTGTTCTATGGCAATTATATCTTTTTTTCCAATATAGACTTTAGCCTTTTAAAGATCCCCTCTGATAATTTCAAATACTACAACACAGCTAACAAATTATTTCAAGCACAAACTACTTTAAGAGTTTGCTTGCGTTGACAACTGAGAAATATTCAGACTCCATCTGCTCCATCTGTTAATACAGGGAAATAGCTCTTTAAAACAAACCTAAGACGAGAGAAGTCTGTCTTCTCCTCTAAAAGCTAAACCTCCCACTTAGATGCCTGAAGCAAGTTCACTACACTTCAGCAAACTGGCTGGAAATTTTAAGTTTTACTAGTTTTGCAGATAAAAAAGGAGGCAATAGGTTGCTCTTTTCTAGTAATTTGTCCTAAAAGAAAAACATTATCTACTGGTTCACTTTGTGGATGTCCATTAAGTTATACAAGTACTTAGTTTAAATCAACTTTAATCAGCTACATCAAAGGTACCTGTTCAACTCAAAGAGAATTAATAAAATCTGTTATCCCAAAGGCAAATGTGGTAAGATGAGAGTGGCAAGCAATGAAAAGGAAGAAAAAAAGGAGCGGGGAAGGAAGGGGGAATTTGTTCTACAGCTATTAATCTTCAAAGAGTCACATTTTCAATTGAACCAACAGACATTCTGAAAACTTCTTGAGTCACGTTCTTCACTTACACCACTGCTCTCATACTATATTTAATAAAGCTTAATACACTACATTGTCTTGTTTTGGGAGTTTTTACTATGCCAGTTTCACACAATTTTTCTCCTCATGATTACCTTATCAGGGATGCCAGGGCTGAAAGTAAATAGAAACTGAACATTACTCAAATTTAAAAAAAAAAAATATAAACTGGCAGATTACTCTGTGTAATATTGCATCTTTATTGTTACTAGCTATTCTTAGACTCTTGATTTGCCACAGCATATTCACGTAGAGCACCACATCTACCACACATTCCCATACATTCATGAAACTCCTCACTGTAAGCCACTGACTTTTGGATATTGCACTCTGTGGTGACAAGCAGCCTTTTAGTAGCTTTAAGCTGCTTGAAGGGAAGTCTGCCTTTACCACACATACACCCCATTCCCTCTCTTCCCAGATAATCCTACATTTTCTCTAGAGTGCCCTGCATCATGTATAGCACTGATCACCCTCAAATATTAAGCTAAATAGCACATGTAACCCCTGACCTGAAAATTGTTTCTTTAAGAATTCTGTTAAGTGGTATGTGTGCCAAACCTTAATCAACTTCAAAGCCTTTCCATCAACACAAAACAGCCAGCGAAAAGTGCAGCAATACAGAGAAGACTTTAGCTCTTCAGTGTTCTAGAATAACTCTACTAGAAAATACCTTAATTTCTTTTATCTTTCAAAATCATTGCAAATTCCAAGAAAAAAAGTTAAAATAAAATTAACCCAAACATGAAAACCACCCTCCAATCATAGTTAGGATTCTTTCAACAAAGTAGCCAAACCTAATTCAAGTAAGTGATTTTCTTTTCAGTAACTACTAATCATTGTTCTTCTGTATTATAGTATGCACACATTACCATGCAATATGCTTTCAAGGAGCCTCTAGAGTGCCATGTTTCACAGCACATAAAAGCTCAACTTCCTTCAGGTAAGTATGGAAAAAAATCTTTAGTACTTGCCCAAATACCAATTGAAATTTATTTCACAATGATTAAAATGGGAAACTTTTACATTTTCCTTGCTACAGAAATAATTTCCAAAGTTAAGATTTCTTATCATAAATAAAATTAGTAAAATAAATTACATTTTAAATGTTTATAATAAATATAAATGGCTTATATTTCTTAACACAAGGAGTAAGTGTTCAGTATTTGTTTATAAAATTTAAGAGACACAGGCCTTGTACATATGGCTTCGTTGACATCTTAGTTTGCCCTCTGTCATATCCATCAACCCAAAAAGCATCTCTACATAAAAGATGCATCCAAATTATTTCAATGAAGTGCAGTATACTCCATTAGAGAGAACATGTTTTAATCAACAGTTCTAATACCAGTTACAGTTACAGTACTTTTACCAATCTACTGTGTTGTAATTATACAAGATAGGACAAAGGGACCAGATCATACAGTCCTCACCACAGTACAGATCCCATTAAAATTTTACCTCAAGAATAGCTGGAAGATTTGGCTTGTAATATGCAATTCAACATGTTTATTCAAAAGTGGGCAAAATATTCCAACAAGAAGTCAGACTTCTGACAGCACAAAACTGCAGTCAAATTTAAGTACCATTTTGAAATTAAGAACACATTATGGAGTTAGATACCCATTGAAACAAACTGATCTGCAAGCAACGTCATTTCTTATCAATGCTTTCACAGGTTTGATAGATATCATCTCTGTTGGTGGACAGTCTAACATTACAAAAAATAAACATTATTGGACAGTTTCAAATGGTAGTTTATGAGGATAGGACATTCATATTTAGAACACTGACAGTCCAACTTCTCCATTTTTATAGAATACTATGAAAATTCCCCCATCAGACTGAGCTATTATTCAGCCTCAAGTACATGCATTATAACAACAATCCCAGCATCAAATCACTTCAGGCAGTGAAGAATTTCAGCTACAAGATCATATACAAAGCTTTCAAACCAGCTAGGAAGTTACAAAAGACAGAAGCTCAACATACACAGTGCAATGTGGGTGGACACACAGACTTGAAGTTTCCTCTGGCTTCTGAGCTCTTTAAGAACTGCCAATTACAATATAAACATACACTCCTGAAGAAAAAAAAATAATCAGCAGAATTCTTCCTAGAATACAGAAATTCAAATAAGTCAAAATGTTTACTTATATTGACTTTGGTAACAAACATCTTTGTAGATAAAGCAAATCAGCAAAACAACAATATGAAAAAGAATCTTGTTATGATAGCTGAATGTTTGAACAAACACATAAAAAGCATTTCCAGAAAAACATCTGAAAGTGAAAAACACCATGACAGTGACAGTTGAAGCTGACTTGGATTAGTGTGTCTAAGTATTAGAATGTGACCACAAACTGTAAACACAGTTCACCAAGTTGAAGAAAGTGTTATGAAGCTAACACAGAAGGAAGCTAGGGCAGATCTCATTTTAACATTTTAGAAATACTTTTTTTAAATTAATTCAGAAGGAAAAATATATGAAATGAGTACACAGTCAATTAGAAGTTAAGAGTTATCAACAAATCTACAAACAGAACATGAAAAAAATCAAAGAAAAATTAGAAGCTAGTGCAAGAACTTTGGAAACACACCAATACTCAGGGAATTATTTAGACCACAGGGGAATGAAAATAAATCTAAAAACTAGGAGAAAATAACATATAGTTTGCTTACCAAGGCTGCAATTCAGTAGAATTGCAAAATCAGCTAGTGCAATTTGGGAATGACTCCAAGCTAGGACATAATGTTTTCTCAAGAGAATTTTGGCACAACTACATTAAGAATATTATGGTTTCTTCTGTGAACTAAATTAACTGAAAGACAAATTGGCAGATCTATAGAAGAGAGTGACTGAGAGAAATTACTAATTAAACTTCAAAGTTAATAAAAATGCCCTCAACTACACAGATGGAATATCTAAAACTGTTTCATTACCATTTAGGAAAACAAACTCCTTTTCAATTTTACCTATTAAGTGTTTAACAATCCAGAGAAACTGAATTAGAAAAGAAGCAGCTGCCTAAAAACGAAGTGTAACATTAAAAAAAAAAAGCACTGAAAATCGGTAACTCAGACTAGGTAAACAGGTCAGATCTCTGGCAGCAGCAATGTTAAAGGAGAGATATAAAGGTGCAATTCCTCACATAATGTATTTGTACTGGCAGATACCTGATGTAAATCCACATACACTATAAGAGGACCCCTGGGAGAGAACCTTAAATGCAGGTGTGAAGCACAGTACTGACATGACAAATACATCCAAAATAGAAATATTCTTTGACTGAAAGCATATTACAGGATAGAATTGTTATGCAGCAAATAATGCGGCAAAAAGTGTAGTGCATTGTTTTAAACATTCCTAGTGTGGTGAACACTACAGAACAGCTCTTTCCAGCAGTAAATTATGGCTCTTAACTGATAAAAGCTATTGAGTGTGCATCAACTCCTGTAAACCAGTGCATTCTACAATTTTAAGGTTCTGAAAGAAGAAACATTCTGTATCTTGTGAATTTACTTTACTTTTTTTTTCCGGGATAGGTCTATACTGATAGGCTATACTGATCTGGGGAAATGTAGAAGGATAGATTTCAAAATAAAATGCTTTGTTCCTATTCAGAAAAAATAAACCAAGTCTCAACATGTAACAAGAGATAGTATTATATGGTATCATCTAAAAGTATCACTTTAAAGGTTAGGTAAGTTATATCCCAATTGCACTTATATTTTTAGTAAAAAATAATTCAAATAAGTGTGTGTTACACATGACAGTTCAACAATGCATAGAACTATGCAGCTGCACTATTTTCAGTTATTTACTCCAAAGCACAGAGAAAAAAAATCATGTGAAATACATAAAAAAATGAAAACTACAACTAAAATATCAGATGAACATTCAGTATGAAAACAAGAAGTTTCTAAATGAAAATCAAATTAATCCTATGCACTTCTTAAGAATTCTGTTCCAAGTCAACATTTGCAACAAGTTTAAAAGAAAAATGACAATAAGCAACAAACAACGGTCTAGTAAGGAATGATTCCCTTTAGAATTTCCACAGTATTTATCTATATGAACATTTTAAAATGGAGGTGGTTTAAATATAAGAAATACTTTTGCTGACTTCTAGCCATTATAGAACAACCCTCCTAATCTGTTAAACAATTAACATATAATCCTTAAAGCTTTATCCTTGGTAGCATTTATTCTACCATCATATGCTCACTATGTTACATGTTCTGTACTTTATGTCCACTGTGTTTTATATTGTGTTCATTATGCATTCATTACATAAAAGAAATGTCATATGTTTTCAATGAGTATTAAGAACAAATCATGTGTCAAGTAAAACTAAACTGGTCACATCTATGTTGCTCACTTAAATTTAGTTTTTTATTACTTGTACAAATAGTTTGAAATTCTGCAATCAAGAAAAAAATAATCAGACATCTTAAAACAGTTACATTCTGTCATTGTTACCTAGTTCCCTCATTCACATCCTTCCCACCACTGGGTGATAAATACTAAAAAGATTATAATTTCTTGTACATGTGTATTATTTAACCTTCATTTTAAGTATAAATTTGCAACACAGTAGTAACACTGCAGGTATAGAAATAATGTTTCCTATCAGGCATATGAAAAGATTTAACACTCTACCACAGTTGATGCTGGTGTATTTATATAGAAGGCTTCTCACAGATCAGTTCAGTCTATGGGAGGTAGATGTTTGTCTATGAACTGTTTTACATCCATCATTTCCTGTTTAAAGATAGAAGTATGTATTAGTTGAAATCTTCTACTACCACATAATCAGCTACAGTAAATCATGCTTTAACATATGAGTTATAATGAGCAGCTGGGCTAGAAATATTGAGCAATTAGTTACTCGATTACCACTCTGCACACTAGTCAAGGCTGATAACTTCACGGCACTATGCACTCAGAAGAGGTTAAATACAAGAAGAAAAGCAAGGACTACTTTTCTCTCCTTCTGAAGTTGAACAGGCAAGGTACATAATTAATCATCAAGTGATCAGGCTGATTATGTATAGGGTTTCAGTGTAGCTGAAGCCATAGCTTACTGTATGCTCTAAACTTTTACAAGTTATCAGCAGCAACTCCTCCTCCTAACCATTCAGTTTCATTTCAGTGTTTCCTGCCTTAAGGCAAAGCCATACAGCAAACTAGACTGAGAAACTAATCCATGGTAATCTTTTTTAATTAATTCACCGTTGCAAGAAAGAACACATTATTAATATATTTGTTTAACAACTCAGCAATATTACAGTCTAAATGCAATACTACTCTGTAAATGCTACAAAGAGGTTGTTCAAAAGTACAGTACCCACAAGATGCAACAATCTAAATTAACAATGTTACTGCTGCTGACAAATGGCAAGTCTGTTCTTTGCCTCTTCTTTGACTTCTGGCTCCTATCACTCTGTGTGAGTTCTGATGCTCCAGCTCCCTACAGCTGCAAACACTGAAGGATGCAGCTTTTGCCATTTTAGCAAATTCAAATGATTCAAGGAAGTTTCTGATCTGCCCCAGAGCCAGTACAAGGAGGAAGTGAGAGACACAAGGTCACGAGCAGAGGGAATCCACCCCTTCCTGGCAGCAGGAAGTTATTACATCAGCCAGAACCATAAACACAGGTTCTGAGGCTGCCTCTTCCAGAGTGTCAGCCCTCCCTCACTAGTCCTTCGATGTCTTGCTCCACAGAACTACCAGGATTCTTCTCTCCAAAATACCAGCTTGAATTTATGCTATGGGAATTTGTCTTTTAATTTTAATTAGTTTTTTAAACTAAGCAAATAATAAAAATTTGGGAAAAAGAGCATTTTATAGCCAAGTTGCCTAGTCCCTAAAATACAGTCTTATGAGGAAGTTCTCACTAGTCATATAAACTTTTGCTTCGGATGCTTTTTTAGCCCAGAATTCAGTTACTCACCAAAATAAGTAGCATGAAGCACTTATTAATTAAAAAAAAAAAGTAACAAAACCGAAACCAACTGGACAAACTAACCCCTTCCCCCCAAAAAACAAAGACTATAAATATAAATTTTGAGGAAAAAGAATTCTAAAACAGAAAACTACCTCAAGAGATGAACTGTGCATCATGCCAGAGTAAGTCTTGAAAGTTACGTTGGCTGGATTTATCATAGTCTTCAGCTTCTCGACAGTGAGGGAACCGAACATTACAGGAACCAGGGGGTCACAGTCCCCGTGGCACTGAAGAACAGCAATATCCTTGTTGACACCACTGATAGGGCCCTGGGAGGGATGGAATTAGACAGGAGAAGAAGTAGACACTAAGTGGAGATAAGGCTAACACCTTTGAAATAAAATAACCCCATGGCACTACAACCTGCGGCATGACAAGCAAATCGAATTCTGAGGGAAAATAGTACAATGTATAGTCTGCAAGCAGTTCCTTATGAAGTAAGCCCAGTACCTGACAATACATTACGCTCAAAGACCTGAAAATAAAATTTTGGCAAAAAGTTTTATAACAGAAAGTCATAATTTCTGGCCAAGTAAAAAACCTGAAACTTTGCTCAAACACCCAGTCTCTAACAAGATAGTGCTTTGGAGATGAAACAAATGGCAGACAGAAAATCCACCTTCAAGGAAAATTTGTTATATCCTTTAAATTTTCTAGTAGTGTCATTTTAAGCAAAATAGCTACTGAGTGTTTCTTCATTTTCCTTACTTAACAAAATCTAAAATTTTAGGGCCTTAGGGCCCTATTTTAAAAGCTTCCAAATGATCAAACAACTGTCATCATCTGGTAATAATGATGGCCACTAATTCTTGTACAAGATTCAATCTCCAGATATACTCATTCCCCAAGTGCAAACCATCTTAGGAAAAAACAAATACCTGAGGAAAAGAGGCCCGTAGAGGAAGCCAACAGCTGAGGGCTATGACACCTGCTAATTTTTGATGTGTTGTAAGAGCTGTATACAACGATAAAGCACCTCCCTAAAATAGAGATATAAGTGTTAGAATAATGACTGCAAAGTTTTTTTAATGTTTTTTTCAAAATCTCAGATTTCTACTTTAAAACTCTTTTCCTATTGCAATCAATTCTTCTTTAGAGCCAACAACTAAAACCAGTATTTATGTACATAAATTTGTTAAGCTTTTTCCCTTCCCTTCGAAGTCCATGTGGTCAATGCAGAAGTAAGCCAAGAAATTTACTCCAACAGTTATCAAAAAAAAAAAAACCCAACAAAACCAAAGTACTCACAACAGTATTATCACTAAGTTAATATTTAATTTATTTGCATGCAGAGTGAAGGAGTTGATGTATGGACCAATTAATCTACTAGCCTACCTACCACAGATGCCTCTAAGTATGAAGGAAAAGATTTCCCAAATAAACGCTGACCACCAAATATCTACCAAATTCAATTAAAAATACTAGCAAAATTTTCAAGCAAAACTATGTAGGTTATGTGCATAAAGATTTTAAACAGATCATTTATTTTAGTACCTTTTAACACATGCATGTTCATTTTCCAGTGAATAGTAATTAGTTGCATAAAACCAAAAAACTTCATTTGCTAAAGCAAAGGAAAATTGACACCTTAAAATTTGAGAGGCACCTAACATCAGCTGATTTTAATTTAAGTGTTTGGGTTTCCCAAGTTAATAAAGCTAGGTTACCTCTCCAGAAAGAAGACAGTGATTCTTTCCAACTATACTTTACCTGAGAAAAGCCTCCCAGAATAATTCTATTAGAAGGAATTCCGTTTTTTACTTCTTGATCTATCAGTGCTTTAACTGCAACATAAATAAAGGCCAGTCGTTAAAATCTGCTCCATTCTCTAGAAAATCCAGAAGAGGAATGATGCCTCCTTCCTGGCTTCAAGAGAAAGGTAGTGATAGGAAAATCTAGGCTGCTATATATTAAAAGTACCAGCAGATCTAGAGCACAGTCAGAAATTTCAGTGCCACTGTGTCATTTCTAAAGAGAAAAACGTGCAAATAGGTTTTGCAATAGCACTAGTGCTGGGAAGATGATATCGTCTTCCAAGTAAAAGCAATACAACTGGATGCTAACACTGCTCTGACCTGCTGCACTACCCAAAATCTCTTAAAAAAAACTATACTTGTTCCCATATTTCAGAGTATGAAGTGTTTATATTGGTGAATTACTTTACTTGCTAATAAAGTTAAAAAACTAACAATAAAGAATTAATCTCGTCAAACTTTGGTCAGTGATAATACCATATACATATATTCTTTTCCCTAACGAAATATTGTCTTTGGAAAACCTGGTTCAGATTGATAGCTCATTTTCAAGAATACCCGGAAGTACTTTTAAGACAAAAGAAATACTCCTAAGTATTTATAAGCAAGTATACTAAATAAGTATACCATTCTCCGCCGCCTGCTTGATCCCAGCTTCATCTTCTTGTGAATCTGGAGAAAGTCCAATGATATCAAACCTTACAAAAACATCAACAAGAGCATTACTCATTAGAGCATCCATTCCACTTCCTTAATACACGAATAATGAAACTTGGATGTTTTCCAGACAAAAGTGTTAGCTGTCATATTGTTTGGTACCAACTACCCATAGATCACAAGAAACAGTGCACAATCTGTGAATGTGGCTTAAAAGACTAGATCTAGTCAACAAGGCTTTTCTGAGTTTTGGCATCTTCTGTAATTTACTGCAGATTAAGCAGCACAGTTTTGATATTTGCTCAAAAAATATCAGCAGGAACTTTGCTCCATGTACAAATTAAAATATGGTTTGTAGAAATACAAGAAAAATAAACACAAGTTACTTTAGGGAAGTGAGGGGGAAAGCCCAAAATCCAATAAAATAAGACTGGTTTAAGATCATTGAACTCTATAACATTCTTCTTGTTCTCCATTAAGAATGGATGTTCTAAAGAACAGTTTCCATATATCCTACTGACCCTGATATTACTCACTAGTAGCAATAATATTTCCACTCCAAGCCTCTACTTCTACCGACTATGAATTCAGACAATGCATACTACAGACCATACCTGTAAAATAAAATGGAGTTTTGTTCTAACATACACAGATTAGTCCTGAGGAATAATCACTACCACAGATACAAAAGGATAATTAGAGTGTAATCATGACAGCCCTTTTATAAGAACAGAACTAAAGCAAAAAGGTTTTTACACTTGCAAGTGATTAAAACCAGATACTCAGGTTGTTCATGATTTTAAATTAAGAACAATGAGTTCATAGCCCCAGATATAATTTGATTAGAACTGTCTGCATTTGAACAAATACTTACCATGATGGCATAGACATGTTCATGTTCAAAGAAACAGGCATAACTGGCCTAGAAATGAGAATGAACACTCCTGACATAACATATATACTGAAATTCAATAATGCAGATGCAGTAACATCATAACTCGGTCTTACTTTTAAGCATTTATTAACATTAGCTGCTTTGCAGCATCTGTTGAAGAAACTCTCTTGAAACCTGCCAGCCCAAGCACATTTAATATTCAGGGTTTAAATACCACTTTCTGTGGAGAGCAAGCAAAACGTCAATGGGCTGCTTTAAATGAATGTGTGTGCAAGTGCATAGATCTCATATATATACTTTTTAATATACATATATTATTTACTTATTTGTAATTAGGAGTTATTTATCACAATTCTATTCACAGGTTGAGTGGATTAAGGCACCTTATACAGCATCACCAGGAAACAGCCAAAAGCAGCACATGGTGGAGCCTGGCCATACATGGTTCTGTCAACAGCAGAATCTGCTTAGGCAGTGCCTGCCTTCATTGCTGGAATCCTTCTGACCTCTGTGCTGCTGTGTGCCATCATTTCAGCCACAGCAAGACAACTTCAATGGATCATGCCATGGATCAAATCTGGCTTTAGTTTTAATCTACAGAAACTGAGCAGCATAAGTTCTGCAGGAAAGGACTGAAAGTAGACAAAGGGCAAGCAATGAAAACAGCAGATATCGCTAAGCTCCTTTGGTATGGTTCAGCAGAGCTTGGCCACGTGGTAAAACAGGTGAATAAACCACACTCAGTAATACACCAAAACATTGCTTCCTTCTCTCTCTATCATCTCTGCTCCACGTCTGCCAAGACCATTGGAGCAGGAGATAATCTGAATTTTAATCTGTTAAAATAAAATAAGATTATACTTCATTATTTTTTCTACCATCAAGTCAATAGTAGATAGATCTTACTGCCTTATTTACTGATGCCTGACCATGCTTAGAAGTATTTCACTTCTCAAATTGCATACAAAGATAGCTCAAATTGCATTATTTGCTGAAAACATCAATATTCTGCCAATCTTTAAATTTCTTTGCAACCTGTAGTAAGTTTCAAGCTACTATACACACACTCAAGTTCAAGTACATGTAGCTAATGCAAATTATGTGTAATAGTAAGTAAAATACAAAAAAACCCCCAAAACTATCCTTGATAAAACTCTTTTTGACAAAAGACTGTTGGGGGGAAAAAAAAAGAAACAAATAACTCAATCCAATGAAAAAAAAGTCAAAATAATACAACTGTGTACCTAAAACTTTCCAAATGTTTTGAGTCTGAATAGGTACCAGAATCGAAGTACAAATAAAAATGCAGTTTTTTCCCAAAGTAAATCAATTTCCTGAAAACAAAAAACATTTAATAGCATCGACACTATTGTAGAATGGGCTTTTGTATTAAAAAAACAAAACACAGAGATAATCAGATAGCATCTCACTTCTGAGTTGTCTCTCTGACATCTCTGCAAGTGTCATAACAGATATCTCTATAGGAAAAGGTAAAACAAGAAAGTCACAAACTTACGCATGTGGGCAAATGTATTTCACATGAGGGCTCTTGATACCAGCAAGTGCTTCTGACCATCCGTGCCTGTTAACAAAAACATGTTCAATTGCATGTATGTTTTGGCTTAGCTCTTATTTCCCAGCTGGGGCATCAGCACAGGCCAAGTATGAAACATGCTGAATTAGGTCAATATAAACACACTTCTAGAAAATGTTTACATCAACCACAGTATACTATGAATGTAGTATTGAGCTTAGAAGGTTTGTTCAGCCCTTGAATGCTTGTTGCATACATACAGTCAAGAAGACTTGATCTAATTTGGCTGCCGTAGTTGTGGCACAGCTACAGAAATCTCACTCTGGCTCCAGGCAAAGCCCACTCTGTATCTGTCTGGCTCTATTACTTTGTGTGACACAACAGATGTACACAGGTATCCTGCTTCCAGGCAGCTCAGAGGCTGCTTTGCTGCTCCTGCAGAGTTACAACAGCTTCTCTGACAGAGAAGCTTGGCATTCTGTAACCCACATTTCTTGACGTGGACAGTAGCAAACTCCACATGGAGCCAACCCAAACAATCAACCCTATTAACTTCAGCTCAGCTTGCATGCTCTTGGATTCAGACAGTCCTGAAAAACAGATTGCAGTAGCTTTTCAATCTCAAGCAGATACTGTATATGAACATCCATAACAAAACAAGATCTGCACAGCAGGTGAGTTAATGAGCTTCCTCCAAACCTGAACACTGGAGAGCATAAGGTCAAGACTCACTCCAGGCCTCATCTAGACATGAACTGACCTTGACCCAAATCTGAACCAATGCACAGCCACTGCACATGCCTGCACTTGGCTTTCCAGAACACTCAATAGCACCTGTATTTCCTAATTTTTCTCATCATTTAGTATTCCTAACTCACCCACTAAATTAGATACTGGAAATTTGGTTCTAAGCAGGAAATACCTTTAACAAATTTGTCAGTGATACAGTTGAACTAACCAGACCAACAGCAGAGCAGTCATAAAAGCATGTTTGGTTTAGTTTTAATATTATCCTGAAAAGTTAATTAATGCATGCTACCTGAAGTTGAAGGCATTCCCAACACACTGACATCACAGACGTTTGAAGCACTGACTGTATCTCAGCCTATTTCTTATCAGTACTTTTAGATATATTATTAACAAATGACAGGAAATATGACTTGCACGATATTTGCAGTATCACAGAAGGTTGAATAAGAATCTAAAGGAGAAACAGAACTGAGAAAAAATAGTTACGTAAGAATTTGGGGACATTTTTTTAGCCAATTACAAAGACAAATTTGACAAATTTGGAAAGCAACATTGCATACATATTAACACAGACTCCTTAGAACAATTCTCTATGATGCACCTTTTGTTCAGATTTTGACAAGTATGTACCAATCTTTAAGTGCCATTTACAAAGAAGCTAAGACAGAAAAAGCATGTAACCTCTCTTAGACACTTTCCAGAGTAAGAAAAATATAGCTGGTAAATGGAAGGGATCAATTTAGAAACTCATGTGAAGAGGAACAGGTCAGTTTAAACTGGGGGAAGTTATAAAATTGTTAATGGGTTTGCTTCAGAGAATTTTTTGCGTCACTACTAGAGCTTTTACTTGAAAAAAACACAAACAGCAGTATGTCAAAGGCAGTCTATCTAATCTAATCTTTAGCAGAATAAAACAAGAAATACACCTAAATCACTGTATCTCCACAGACATGTCATGTCTTGTCAAATGCAGACATTCCAGCGTGCTCAGTGCATTTGCAAGATTGAGGCTGTGCATTAGCTCTGACAGTGAAGTGGAAATGCCATCTTGTCTAGGGAATACAACTCAGGTTAAAGAGAAAATCTCTATTTATTACCCCTTGCCAAAACCAACATCAAGCCGATTTGCATGGACTCAAATTCCAAAAGCTCAAAATATTCTGCAATCACTTGCTGAACATTTGGTGCCAAGATGTAGGCAGTGCTGCTGCCTCAGCTGCGTCCTACCAGCAGAAAGGAAGAGAGGTAATGCAAACAAGGTGTTGTGTCAGCACAACAAATCAGAGCAAAAACCTCCACTTGTAGAATACTGCCAAGTGCATGGACCTGACTCTTTTTTAACTTACTAAATGCCCAGGTTAGGCAAGTTTTAATTCTGACAATTAATTGTCATTAGTTCTTTGGAAAAAATAGCATAGCAAGTTTCAACCTGGAGGCAACATTCAAGTTCCAGGTAACAACAACAAAAAAATCTTAAAAAAATATTATGTAATTTTGGCCACAAGGGAGCACAATAGACAAAGCATTCATGCTACTTATTTTCAGTATCTAAGTGCCAATTCCTTTAAAGTCTTCCACTAAAAAGGCTTCAACACTCTCTTAACTTGTTAATTCAATAGCTGTAATGAATGCATGCTTATTTCTGGGCACACACAAGCTTCAAACAGAAACATTACACCAGAATTAGAATGCCTCCCAGAAATTCCCTACTCTTTCTATTTCTACTCAAACATGGAAATAACAGGAACAAGGCAACAGGGCATTACACATTTTATTTGGGAGGGGTTTTTTGGAGTCTGAAGACAGTATTTCAGAGACAGAAATCTGTAGACATTAGGTGACTACTTTGGAGGTCTGGATTTTAGCGTAAGCATGACATATTGATGAAGAAAACACAGACTAACTGCAGCTATTGGCAAACCAACAATCCACAAGTTTGGAATAAAAAAGAACTCTAAATTTACACAAACACAGGAATAACCAGAAACTCACTCTCAGGAAAGCAAATTATCAGAAAACTATAGACTCCTTTTTCTACAAAGTTTGTCTCAGGAATAAAAGAGAGATCACATTCAGACCAAATTAGGTAGGTGAGTAAAGTTTCCGAGGACTTGGTGGAAAATTTTAATTAAATAGTTGTCACCATCATTACAAGACACATTAAGTTTTATCTGTCGTTGGCCGCTGCATTCAGTAAAGGGCAAAATCAGAAGCTTAAGTAAATTTTAACAGCTCACGTGTTTAAAATACGCAGATTATATTTGAAAGTATAATAGCTACTGAGTATGCAATAGATCAGAATACACACCCGGTATCTCCTAATCCGTGAAGAAAAATGACCTGAGGGAAATAAAACAGCAATAAAAAAACAAAACAGACAAAAAAGACAACAAAGGTAGAGGTTTAGGATCACTAAACAACCAAACGCACCTCGCCCACGAGCCCCAGGCGCCCACCCAAGGTCAGGCACAGTTCGGAGCACGGCACCACTTTCTCCCAAGAAAACTCCGCTTCGCTCACTTCCCCTCCCCGGCCCCGCCGCCATCAGCGGCCGCTCCCCGCGGGCACCGCTGACCTTCCAGGTGCCGAGCCCGGCCCGGCTCTGGCAGGGAAGCAGCGGGAGAGACCCGCCCGGGCCGGGCCGGGCCGCCCGCCATCCCCCTCAGCCGGCGGCGCGGCCGCGCCTCGCCCCCCGCCCGCGCCCGCCGCGCCAACAAAGCGGGGCGGCGGCGCTCCCTGCCCGCGCCCCCGCCCGCACTCACGGCGGCCGTCGCCTTCCTGGCGGCCGGGACGATGGCAGGGAGAGGAGCCGACATGTTGTTGCCGCACATGCACCGGGGCTGCGGGGCGGCCGGCGGGACACGGGCCAGCGGCGGGGAGGCGGCGCGGGAGGGCGGCGGGAGCCGGGTGGGAGGGGCGCGGGCGGGCGGGCGCCTGGTGCTGTGGTGTAAGGCCTGGGGGGAAAAAGGAAATTATGGTGTTCTTAAATAGGTAACAGAGAAAAGGCTAAGTCACGGGAAGGCGGGAAAGCCAGCACAAATATAGCAAGCAGCGCGGTTAGCCAGGGCTCATCTGCCCTCATCGGGTCAGATGCCTTCACCACCGAATTAAATCTCTCGGTTTACAGCTCACAAATTACTGATTCTTACTCGTCTTGAAATGTGTTAGGCTATTCAGGCACTCTGGTTGAAGTTACTGCATCATTCCAGTCCATTCCAAATTCTTAGACCAACTCTGAATATGTCTGGCAAACACATTTCTATCAAAACGGAGTACTTTGTCTTCTGTTCCATATATCTTTGTCAGATATTTACTCCCAGAAAATCAATATGCTCATTGTATTTGCCGAGTGGTAAGAGGCTGGCATGGGTGCTTGTTTGGCAGCTCCAACAGCAGCTGAACTCACACTATACTTCTTTCACATCCTTCCCACTGCTGTGTTCCATACTAAAAAGGGACAATTTTTCACAAAGCTTTTGCTCATCAACATCATCAGCATCGGCTGCACAAAATGTATTGGAGCAACCTTTAAACCAGATGTGTAACATTAAATACATATCCTCTTTTGCCATGATTGTTAGGCTGCTTTGATACATAGTATTGATACCATGGCATCCCTGTTATTGAAAAAATTTTATTATTTTCACAGGTAACTTTTTGTGGTTTGATTTCTCTCTAATTTAGCATGTGCTCCTACCTCATGTACTGTACCCAATTCAAGTCTGTTAAAAAAATACAGTTCATGCATAAAAAGTTCTTCAAAGATTAGAAGCTTCACATTATGTCAGATGCTCATTAAGTATGCCAAACCTGGCTCTTGCTCTAGATCACCTTTTTGGGACATGAAAAAAATTTTGCTTTCTCTCACTACTCTGCTATTTACCATGTAAATGTCACTTCCATAAGGTAAGCTGCTGCTGAACCTCCAGCCTAAGAAGTAACAGTCTTCTGATCAACAAAACAGGATTTTAATGTTTTTGTCAGTAGAGCTAGAATAATCTTACTTGAACTCCCAGTTGCTGCTAGCATGGCCCTGGGGGCACTGAGGAAACGTGAGCTTTGCATGGATTGGGCATGGGGCAGTTTGCTGGTTATAGACTCCAAGTGTTCAAGAAACCGACCTTCAGGAATCCCAAAGGAATTGCTGAAAATATCTGAGCTGTGAACCTTTCAAAAACGGGTATACTGGCTGTCCCTTCAGAGTGAGATATCTATCTTAGGTATGATACTTTTCTACCTGATTTGAAATTTCTGTTTAAAGCAGAAAGAGTTTTACACGGCAAAGTATGTTCTAAATTATGTAGTTTTCCCTGCCCTAGAGGCTAAGATAAGATGGTTGTCCATGCCAGCATCTTGTGTGTTGTTACAATGTAATTTTTCTTAATATTTTTGAATGGGTAAGAAGCTACACAAATTTCATACTGAAACTCGCAGATTTCTGCAGCATGACTTCCATTTTACCTCCATTTATTCTCAGGGCTGGCAGAGCTGCTGCCTGATCCCCTCTCCAATCTCAAGCAGACATTCCACATGGAAGAAGGTACTGTCAAACAGAAGTTTCAGGATGGAAAGCAAGATATCACACTGAGGAATATCAGCTTTCACAATGGGAACTGTCCTTTCTGCTCTGTAACTCCACAATGGCAGCTTCTACAATTCAGTTCTTCGCTGCACTGAGCCTGCACCCGGCACACCCTTTTCACCAGATCAATATACCGATGGAAGCTGCTGCGTGGTTTTCCAGTAGGTACACATTTAAATTTAAAAGACTGAAATAATGCAAGTGATTGAGTACTGCAGCAGTACTAGGAACGTCCCTGTCTTGGTCTTGGCTCTAGTAATTTTCTTCCCAACTGCTGATGAGAGGCTCTGTTTTGGATTTGTGCTGAACACGGGAATGGTAATATAGAAGTTTTTGTTATTGCTCAGCATGGCTCACACAGAGCCAAGGCCCTCTCTGCTTTTCAGGTTGCCATGCTCATCAGAAGACTGGGTGCATGGGAGGGTGGGAGGAGACACAGCCAGGACAGGTGACCCCAATCTCCAAAGGGATTGCCACATGCCAGACCATGTGGCATCATGTTCAGTATATAAAGTGGGGGGAAGAAGGAGGAGGGATGTTCTGGGTGATGGTGTTTGTCTTCCCAAATAACCATTACACATGATGGGGCCCCGCTCTCCTGGAGATGGCTGAACACCTGCCTACCCATGGTAAAAAGTGAATTAATTCCATGTTTTGCTTTTCTTGGATGTGCAGCTTTTGCTCTCCCTATTAATCTGTCTTTATCTCAACCCACGAGTTTTCTACCTTTTATCCTTCTAATTCTCTCCCAGATCCCACTGCTGGGGAGGTGAGCCTGTGCGAGGCTTGGTTGATTCCTGGAGTTAAGCCTCGAGAGTCTCCAACAGCAATGGATGTTTCCAGTACCTGCACGGTAGTACTCGCAGCTGAGCAAGGTCCGTGCACCACCGGCCACTCGGCTTTAGATGCAGCCTGGTGGTTTTAAGGACTCGGCTTGGAAACACTTGTCTGAGGTCTCAGTAATAAAACAGCAAGTGCTGGAAAATGAGACATAACGAGCGCCCTACGCTCAACCATTGGAATTCTGAGCTCCGGCACCGCTAAAGCACTGGGCCCGCCCCGCCGGCGGCTGCGCGACACCGCTGGGAAGGCGCGGCCGGTGCGGTTTACGGCGCTGCCGTTAAGCGTCGCGGCTGGGCGCGATCCCCGCGGGCGCCCTTGGCAGGGAGCAGCCATGAGCGGGAGCGGCGTGAACCGGGCCCTGGAGCTGCTGCGCTCCCTGCCCAGGGTCAGCCTGGCCAACCTAAGGCCCAACCCCGGCTCCAAAAAGCGGGTGAGTGCCTGCAGCCTGCCGGGTGGGCCCTGGTGGCAGGATTGTGCCCCGGCAGCGTCCTGGCGTGGTTTGCCCCCAGGATTGTCAGAAGGACATCATCCTGGCACGGCATGGCCGGAATAGGCGTGGAAAGGCAGAGGAGTGGATGGCAGTGCTGTGTATGTGTGTTGTTGGCCCGCTACTTGCCCTTTGCGTGCCTTGTGGCTCTTGTGTGTGGCCAACCCCACAGAGAGCTGCCTGATGAGTGGGGTAGCTGAACCTCAGGGCCTTTGCTGGGGCTGGAGGGGAATAGTCAAAGGTTTTTAACTCCAGATGTTTATGGGATGGAGTAATATGTTTGGAAATTGAAGGTTAGAAGGCGTACAAAGAAAAAGAATGTGTTGCCAGCTAACATTCTTGTTACTGTTTCTCGAAAACAAAGCTGTGATCTGGCTTCTTATAAAGTGGTAGAGAAATTATGTAAAGAAACCAGGGAGAAACCCTTGCAGTTTGGGGGGAATATTAGTGAACAGGGGGATGAGGTTCAAAGGCTGAAACCATAGGAACAGTGGAGGGAATAGCAAGCAGCACTCTCCTAAAAATGCCGAAGACTCCCTAAAGCTACTAAATAGTACAGAATTCAAGAGCAGTTTTGTGCTAGACTCGACCTCTGCCACCAAAGGAAGGTGACTTATCCTCAGACTGTTTGTGGTGCCAGCCTAATGCTATGCTCTGCAAAAATCACATTAACTGCTTTTCTATTTTTCCACTTAGAAAAGATCTATAACATAATCTTTTCCTCAAGAATCACTATTTTGCTCAGTTGTTTATATCTCTGAAATCTAATATTTTATAGATACTGGTCTCTGGAATAGTTGTCTAAGTGTATCATTGATTGTTTTGAAGGAAAGAAGACGTGGCCGTGGAAGATACGGAGGTAGGAAGTGTGGCCGGGGTCACAAAGGAGAAAGACAAAGAGGGAATCGCCCCAGATTAGGCTTTGAGGGTGGTCAAACTCCATTTTACTTGGCCATACCAAAATACGGATTTAATGAGGGACATAGGTAAGTTTCTAAATGTTTACTTGGAAATTAATCGTCTGCTTTTCTTGATCTTTCTCCTGAAGCAAGACTCTAATATGCTGAAACAGGCCTAACTGAAAAGGTTCAGATTCCCAAATTCCTCTCAGGTTGTTAGTTGCTTTACCAGAAGAATCTCCCATTACTTCTGAGATTATTCTTTTAATTAATTATTTCCCGTGTTACACATCTGCTTATTTACTCTCTTCTCATAATCCTTCATGTGTAGCAGGCCACCCTTCTTCCAGCTGAGTGAATTTGTCCTCTGAAACTATTCCTTCATTCCTGCTTGTTTTTCTTTTTGCCTCGTAACTCAGTGAACTGAGAACAGTCCCAGTGACTGGAGTGAGGATGTTGGGCATGGAAGTGTAATCCAAAGCCTTGTTTTGTTGTTTCTCCTCACTTTATTCACCAGAAGCTCTGATCTGCTGCCAGCCAAACAATTCTGCTTCTCTTTATGGTTCTACCTTTCAGCCCTGTGACTTTGTGGTGTTTGTCTGTCTGTGCTCTGCCTGTTCCATCTAGGATCTTAACAAACTCTTTAATACCAAATCTACAAGGTGAGGCATTAAATCACTTTTTTTTTTGTTCTCCTTGGACATTTTGCTTTGTTTAATACTTCTGTCTTTTTTTCACGTTGTACTTGTTTCTGTTGTGTCCTCATTCCACCTTTTTAATGTTTAAGGTTATTCTTCTGACATGTGTTTTCTCCAGTCACTGTTCTTACCTGGAGAGATGTATGTCAGCATTTTCCAAATTTCCTTCACTTATATTGATAATTTAAAATTTTTCATTAATTTTTTTTTTATTTGTTTGGTTTTTTTTTTTAAAGCTGGGCTTGTTTCATCAGATAGCATTTGTGTTACTTGGGTCAGCAACCATTTTGTTGCTTTTTGATCTTGCAAACTTCTGTGTCCCTACAAGGCTGTTACAGGCAGTAGTAACAAAGGCATACTACACTGAGCAGACAGTTC